CTACTCACTCTCTGAACGGGTTCGAACAATAGTAGAGACAAAGGCAGCCAGCTTTGCGTCAACCCGCTAATCATTCCGGCCGGAGCTCGGCTCTCCGGCGTCCCTGCGCGCTCCGATCTCCTCTCCCACTACCCCAACAGCTTTCTGGTCTTCGATCAATTTTAAATATGAAACCACAGCTCCTCAGCCTTGAGCAGCCTATAACGATGTGGCAATGGAGAACGGCAAAGACATCTGCCATTCTCCGTTCATATAGGGAACCATAAGAGATAGTCATAAGTGACTATCCCTTAAGGTTCTCGCAGGAACTAAGACTCTGCCTACAGCGCAAGCTACACTATCATCGCCTCTACAAAGAAACTGGCAATGTCGATTGGTACACGAGATTTAGTCAATGTTGTGCACAGGTGAAACAATTGTTTAAACAAGATACAACAACAACATGCTGAAATCGCCGAAAAATCATTGAGCACACAGCCACGTGGAAGTTTGTCAAAGAGAGCATCAAAGAGAATGTTAGCACGATCACATTGCGAGATAATGAGGATTGCGTCTCCGACCCTGTTGATGTAGCTAATATTTTTGTGCCCCATTTTAGTGCTTCTTTCAGTACAAAAATTTGGCCTAATGCCTAGCTCGAATATAAACTGCATGAATTGGCTTACTGTTGCTCCAATTAATGAACCTGAAGTCTTGGAGGCAATTAAAAAATTTAAACCAAAGTTATCTACGGGCATGGATGAAAATAGTAAGGTACGTTGTTGGGCTAGTTGGTTTATCTTAATTAAACATATAAAATAGCGCAGAAAAGACAAGGACAAAAAGTATACAGGACAAGCGCTAACTTTCAACTAGTTCTTACTCAGGAAAAGCAAGCATATATATGCACACGACAGGCAAAGCAGCACCACATAAAAGTTGACGAATTTTGTGCATGATCATTCAAAAACTGAAACTCATTACTATGAAGTACAATAGAAGTGTCGCTGACACATGCCGGATGGAATTCCCAACTTCATAGTAAAAGTTTGTGCTCCACTCCTTTGTCTAGTTTCGGTGCCTATATTTAACTTATCACTTGCATCTGAAACATTTCCTGCCACATGGAAGCACTCTGTTGGGGTTCCATTACATAGGTCGGGTGACCGATCCATGGTTAACAACCATAGCCAGCCAGTCTCCCTCCTTTACACTTTGTCTAAAGTTTTTGAAATTGTTTTGCACACCAGCCTTTATGCATATTTTTGTCGGAAGATTATTTTTGAGCAACATGGTTTCATAAAAGGCCGCTGCACAGAAACAAACCTGTGTTTCTTCCTGCATCAGATTGTACCATCTGTACATAGCAGAGGACAAGCAGTGGCAGTGTACTGTTATATGAGCAAAGCTTTTGACAAAGTTAATCATAGACTACTGTTGAGTAAACTCTGTAGTTACGGTCTGTCTCTTAAGTACTGTCGTCTCCTCGATGGTTACCCATCTCATCAGCTGAACTTTGTGCAAGTACCGGGTCGATTATCTGCTATTTTTTTATCTACTTCTGGGGTTCCTCAAGGAAGTAATCTTGGTCCTTTGCCGTTTTTAATTTTTGTAAATGATCTAGCTTTCTGTATTAAACACACGCGGTTGTTGTTATTTGCTGATGATGTTGGGGTTCCATTACATAGGTCGGGTGACCGATCCATGGTTAACAACCATAGCCAGCCAGTCTCCCTCCTTTACACTTTGTCTAAAGTTTTTGAAATTGTTTTGCACACCAGCCTTTATGCATACTTTTGTCGGAAGATTATTTTTGAGCAACATGGTTTCATAAAAGGCCGCTGCACAGAAACAAACCTGTGTTTCTTCCTGCATCAGATTGTACCATCTGTACATAGCAGAGGACAAGCAGTGGCAGTGTACTGTTATATGAGCAAAGCTTTTGACAAAGTTAATCATAGACTACTGTTGAGTAAACTCTGTAGTTACGGTCTGTCTCTTAAGTACTGTCGTCTCCTCGATGGTTACCCATCTCATCAGCTGAACTTTGTGCAAGTACCGGGTCGATTATCTGCTATTTTTTTATCTACTTCTGGGGTTCCTCAAGGAAGTAATCTTGGTCCTTTGCCGTTTTTAATTTTTCTAAATGATCTAGCTTTCTGTATTAAACACACGCGGTTGTTGTTATTTGCTGATGACATTAAGTTGTTTACGGCGGTTAAAACGGTTGACGTTTGTGTATGCCTTCGGCATATATAGATTCTATTTCGGCATGGCGTTTTTCAAATGACCTATTCTTAAATAAGTAAAGACGAAAGTTATGTCCATTTCTAGAAGCTGAAATTCTGAGTTTTCCCTATGTATTAGATTCCACCAATACAACTCACGTTGAGGTCATCCGTGATCTAGGCGTTTTTATGGATCCTGCAATTAATTTCAACCATCACATGACTACGATTGCAAGTACTTCCTTAAGAGTGCTGGGAGCCATTAAGAGAGTGACACGCAGTTTTTCTAACCCACTTTGTATTTTACATTTGTTTCCTTCACTGGTGCGTAGTCATGTCGAATATGCCTCAGTTGTCTGGAACTGTATTGGACTGACAAATTCAGGTGTAATTGAAAGTGTTCAACATAGATTGGCTTGTGTTTTGTTTGATCATCATTTTCAACCGAATTATTTCTATAGTTATGAGCGGATTTGTGAACTCGTGAAATTAGACCCGTTGTCGTGGACTAACATATTTTTATAAGATTGTAAATGGTATAATTAATTCACCAGAGCTACTCAGTCACATCTACTTGCACGTTCCTCGTAGGTCTTGTAGACTTTATACTTTGTTTGGCCTTACCGAATTTTACCACGCTGCATGCCTACAAGTGACGTATAACCGTTTAGAACAGATTTCTGGGAATGATGTCTTGATATTTTTGATGAAGAGCATACATTTTGAAAGTGTGTTGAGACTATTGTTTTTCTCTTAACATTTCGTTTTTATCCTTTTTAAAATTTTACTACTAATTGACTCATTGATAAGTGCACCACTAAGGAGGCATTAAGCTGTTGGCGGGTCACTCAAAATAAAATAAATAAAAAAATAAATATCACACGGGGCAACATGGTCGTTTCGAGGAACCAGACTACCAATGTCTAGCAGGTCGCATTATCCGTCCATTCAATTTAGTGCTGAGGCCATGGGTACCGACGAGACACACGCAAGTTCGACACCCTGCCAGGCTTTTTGCTGACTGGAGAAGAACCAAAAGCTAACTAATTAGAGGGAGGAAAAAGATCCCAGACGACATGATCACAGTAACCTGCATGATATGTCCATGAGCTCTGGATACACGAGTACTTCAAAATCAAAAGACAAAAGACAAAAAAAAAAAAGCATAAAACAGCTGTTTGCATAAATTTATCTTTTTTTTTTTACCAGTCAGAACAATTAATTGTAGCTTGGAATGAACTGTCCAATTGGTATATGTGTGCGTGTGCGCGCGTGCGTGTGTGTGTGAGCAGAATTATAATCAGCGCTCCGTGTTTTCGGATCAATCTGATCAAAAACGAAAAACACTCGCCGGTAAAATTTACGCCGATTCGGACTTATCGAAAAACAGTCAGAATTTCGACATCATGATGGCGGATATCAGTTGATACAGGCGAGTATCATAAACTCCGATAAACTCCAAATTTTCAGGAAAAAGTTACTGTAACACACAAAACTTTGCAGACTGCATGATTTTTTTCTTTTTCCTTAGGACGGGCCAATAGCGCGCGAAACGCTACCTGTGGTCAATCGAAATTACCCCTCTTAATTTCGGTGTTTCCGCAAACAATTGCACGCACGAAGAAAGTTATCCCGGAAACGCGGCAAACGTGTGCCAGCCAATAAATAAAAAAAGAGAGAGAAAGAATTACGCAAAAGCCGGCCGCAAGCCAACAACGTCTTTCAGAAGGCACCCGTAATCTTGCTCATCTGATCGCTACCAATGCAAACAAGGGGAGACTGATCACTCTCGCTTCCTCACCCACTTCACCACCGCCTCATCCCAAAGCCAATAGTCTCTCTTTTTCTCCCTCTCCCTCGTCTCCCCCCCCCCCCCCCCCCAAAAAAAAAGAAAAAAATTTGGGGAGTAAAAAGGGGGGGGGGGGGGGGGGGGGGGGGTGCAATTGAGAGATAAAAGAGCCCCTGCCGGCGCTTCTGTAACGTCGGTCATCGCGTGTTTGGGCGGTCCACGGACTCTTGCTGCCCTTCCGCCTTCACCCCTCCCCCTCAGAGAGTCGCGGCGCACTTTCTCGTGAAATCCGTCTCGTGCACGACGGACGAAAACCCCTTTGGGCACAACAACCAACAGAAACCGAGCTCCGACCAAAATACATCGCTCGCAGTCCAATATTATACGGAACAATACCCCCTCCACCACCATTTAAAAAGAGAGGGGACCAGGGTGTGCGACGAAAAAAATAAATAGAATAAACATTCCACAAGCAAACACAAAAAAAAAAAAAAAAAGTGCGTTTCTCTTTTGTTTTTTGTTGGACGAGCGCGAGGAAATTTTTTTGTGCGTTTTGCGCTTTACCAATTGTTCGTGTGATTAGTTGTGCGTGCGGAGAAAACTTTTGGTGCTCGCGCGAGTTGTAGGAAAGGAAATAGGAGAGTGGAAAACAAGCATCGAGTCGCTGGAAGAAATTGCCGGGGACTAGGCCTAAAACCTCCAGAGGAAAAGGTCAAATAAAGGTAGCCCGGTTCTCCGCGGTTCCCTCGTCGATCGACGGTCGAAAAAAAATTAAACAAAAATACCCCCAGGTTCCGGAGGTCATATTGACTAAAAAAATGAAAGCACCGTGATTCCGCTTTTCTTTGTTTTCCCTTAGTCACGACGCAAAATTAACACCGAAGCTTCGCGACGAGCACGAAGCTCCAGCGCCGTTGCCGATAACCAGGCAGGCACATGTGAGCTCATTCTCGGCCCTACGACGAGGTGCACGCGAGGTCGAGGGAAAAAACGGCGGAACCTACCGTGCTCAGAATCGCATGGAGACGCGCTGCGGGGTTCGATGTCGTTCACTGCGGTCGCTCGAGAGTCCGGACTCGTACCAAGCTTGGGGCAATTATCATTTTCGAGAGCAACAACGAGGGTCATATCGTCTGCACTGCACCGCTCGCACGCACGTGGAAAGCCCCTGCTAGCGGAAACGCGGAAACCGGCAGTAGGGATGAATAGATAAACAAAAGAAATCGTAAACTTCTTTGAATTGGGTGGTGTCTTGCGCCACCTATTTTATCTATTTTGCATCCGCTTGTCAAACCATAGTTATTTGCGTTCAGCTTACCTTGAGCTAAAACTTTTTTTAACTCGTTAATTTAAATTTGGATATAGGATATATGCGACAGAACTTTCTTTCTTGGTCGCCCAGCGAGGTCTAGCTGTAGGTAAATCGTGCATAAAAGTGCGTAGTCTGTTTTTTCTTTGTCATTCATTGGGTGCATGCAGCATTCAACCGTTTCGGTTTACCATTCTTGTTTTATTCATGGTGACACGGTCGCCTGAGTGCCTAAACATAGCGTTTCTATTTAAAGCACTACAGCCGAATATATTATAATTTACGCGTAATTCACCGGGACTTTGATCGCTATGGTACAAGCACGATGAATCGCCTACACAAGCACAGGATAAAAATGACTAATCGCTAAAAGGCATGTATCATATGCTACGGAAAGCCTGCATGCGGTCGTTCGTCCAGTATTAGAAATCTCTTGTGCGAGGTAGGCCTCGAGCTACCACCCTTGTATATAAAACAAGAGTTTTCCTCGCTCGAATTATCGTGCTTACCACAGGTCACATCTCAGACCAAATAAACAAGGAACAACGGCAAGTACACCGTGCATAGAAACGATAACATGATAATAATGAAGAAAACGTAAAGACGACGTTCACCGAGTCGTAAAATCACAGACAATACGCACACAGATGCCCTTCAAGAGTCCAGCATGGGAGGTGCATCGGCAAACAGAGTTCACCCAGCACATGTTCGTAGTTCGTACCCCCTTCTCGCCAAAAAAAAAAAAAAAAAAGAAAAAAAAGGAAGCACGCACAGGAGAAAGGTTGTGCTGGGTTGTTCTACTTCCTTTTGGGGGATTTAGCGAGGGGGATGGGCGATAATAAACCGAAACATAATCGACTGTCTTCCTCATATCAAGGAGTAGAGGGAGTACATGACCCCCTGGCGGTGGCAATCAGTTCGTCGAACGACGTTTCATCGACAGATCGTTTCGTTGACGTGCGGCGTTTCATCGACAGTTCCGTTCCATTGGAAGGCTTCCCGCGTTTCTTTCCAACGACAGACCTTGCGACGTTTCGTAGAACACAACTGCATCTCGCCTGGTTCTGAGAAATAGCAGGGGGGTTAATATCCGGCTTGGGCAAACTCGCATCAGTGAATCGCGCGCTAGCTTTTAACTGCTTAATAAATAATAATAATAATAATAATAAAAAAAAAGCTTTGTCGACGAAACGTCGCAGGGGCATGTGTCAACGAAACGAGCTTCTACGAAACGTAGTTCCGACGAACCGTGTGTCCGTGAGACGTGTTTCGACGAAACGATGGTGTTCGCACATGACTCGAAGTAATATCAGTAATATGACTCGCCGCGATGGCAAGAAACAGCCGAAGATCCGCGGGCTCAGCGTGCCCACGGCCGCACTGCACACACCCAGCCGATGTCGCGCTATCCGACGACCTCGGAGGAAACCTCCGTCTGCGTGGCGAGGCTCAGGCGTTGCGGCGGCGGCGGGTCGAGCCCGACGGTCTCGACGCTTCGGTCTTCGTGGATCGCGTGGTCGGTGGCGCCGTTCTCAAAGCCCCGCTTGAGGCTGGTGTAACCCGAATGCGTCGCGTAACAGCCGGGGTCCGAGAGCTGCTTGAGCGGTAGCAGGGCCAAGGGCCCGTTCGAGTGGTTGTTCTGTGGCGCGAGGCCGTTACCGGCGTTGTTGGCCGCAGCCGTGGCGGCGGCCACGGCCGCGGCGGCACTGGCGAACGAGGGCACCCGCTCGTGCTGCTCTAGCTTGACCTGGACGGGCTTGGGCGCTCCGCTGGTGCCGTAGAATGCGGTGTACGTGTTCACGGTGGTCTCGTCGTCGCCGGACGTAGTCCGCGGACGGCCCGAGCGCGGCCGGACGTTGAGGTGGCCTTCGCTTTCCCAGCGCTGGACCCAGAGGTTGACGGCGGTCCACGAGAGGTGGAGTCGGCGCGCGATCTCGCTCTTGTTCTTCAGGCCCGCCTCCCAGAGTTCGATAATCTGCCATTTGACCACGTCGCCCGTCTCTCGGCGGCCCCTGGGCTTCCCGCGAGGCATGCCGACGTCGCGTGAGCGGACTTCAGGGCTGGGGCGGTCAGCGGCGGTGGCCGGCGATGCCTGCGATGGTCGAGCGACCAGCGGGGAAAGACGGAGCAGGCGGCGTTGGTCGCCCCCGTCGCGGCGTTTTTTTTACGGAGAACGCGTCTTTGCGCCGCATTTTTTGCGTGCAGCCTCTGGGGAGAGCGGTGAAGCAGTGTCGTATCTGTCGTTATTTATTTTTTTGGTGTTTGGGTAAAAATTAAGGAGGGGGTAGAGGCGGTGCCAGGAAGCTGAGCTAGCTCCAAGATTTTGAGAAATCGCGATAGCGCGACCATTTTTTTAAATGCCGGATGTAAACAAATCGAAACAAACAAAATAATAAAAAAAAGTAAATTAATTAGTGTTGCCAGACTACTTTGCGTTTTTTTTAATTCACCTCAAAACAATAAAATATGACATTCTAGAACACACGTGCAATATGTCTTCTCAAATATTTTGAAAACTATTAACATAAGTCCACATATGTTGTCGTAAATTTTTGTCATGTTATGGTGCAGTGATGTGCGAACGGTTGCTGAATGTTCGACAGTAATCATTATAATGAAATATTATATAAATTTCCTACTCTTTTTTGGCAGTTATTTATTTAACGCAAGCCCCCATAAGCAGGATTACATTTCTATCACGACGCGAAAACAAGCGAAACGGATGAGGTTATTGAGGTGGCGCAACAAGCGCTCCGACGGCCACCATCATGTCGTCTGTCACTGCGTGAGTGTGGAACGGCTGCCGTGCTCGCTTCTTCTCCTCGTCTACAAACGTGCGCCATCGTCGCCTAGCCCAATACAGGACCGCGTAACCTCTCCGCCTTCCAGCGAACTTCGAAGGAGCCCACTTTCCCAGCTACTGCCTCCCGACGCCGAAGTGGCCGAAGCCACCGACGGCATCTTGCTTGTCCACGTAGATCAAAACAGAAGGCGAGGCTAGCGGCATCCGGGTGCATTACCCCCAGGTAATTGCACGACCGTGCGAATACCGCGAATGCGGTATATAGTGCCCTAAATACCGCTTTATCTTTTATTTCTTGTCTCCCTTTCTGACACACTCTGGGGCACGAGATGTCGGATGCCGCGATGGTTGATCCGCGATCGTTGTGTTCGTGAAGCAAGCGCCTATTTTATGGACGCGGTCCAGGTGCTTCCTTTGCAGCTAACGGCGTGACTCTATAATGAGCGCGAAAGCGTCTGGGTAAGCGACAGCCGTCGTGAGAACGAGAATTTATGTGGTATTTAGAAACGCAAGTCTGACCAAAACGGGGGTTGACAGTGAGCTTCCGCGAAAATTTAAATGCTTAAACACCGCCTGCCTGTATTTGAAAGCGTGTGCATAAATTTACACCACGCAGAGCTCCTTCTTCTGGCCAGGCAACAAGGATGAATGGCACGCTGGATCTAAAGTAATGTTTGACTACCGTAACACAGAATGCGCTGGAGCAGTGGTTCTAAAATGGGGGTCCACAGACCTTTTGGATTCCTTGAAGGACTCCTTAGGGTCCCCGAAGCTCTCGACCGTCGTACAATCCAGTGGGTGAGGTCTCCCATCACTTCCACTGATCCAGAAGTCCCTGAAACATCATTGGTTGAGAATTAACCACTTCCCTAGGGTGACATTTGGTGAAGCGCAGCCAACTAGAGATGTGTGAATAGTGATTTTTCAGTTTGAAGCGAATAGTTCCTCTATAATTTCTAATTGAATCGAATAATTTCGAAGCAAAGTGAATAGTTTGTGGCCGTCAGTTCAGTCATAAAAAAAAACCTTGAGACTAGTGAAAAAAAAAGAAAAAACAAACACGACAAGGTTTGAAGGGTCTCTACCATGATTGTACACCAGCTCACCTCCACAATTATTCTTATTTCGAGTCAGTTCTAATTAATGTGGACACTGATTCTCTTGCCCAGAAAAATCACCCATAATGTGAATTGGCCGTAATAGTGAATTAAGGTCAAGATCACAAATAATGAACAAGAAGCGTGGCAACAAAAGACACGGTTTATTTAGGTAAAAAATGCTGAGACTCATTTGCTCAGACAGTGTGGTGTTAGCTATTAGAAATAATCTGCAAAAAATTCGAGAGTAGACTTGTCGCTCCTATTTTTATTTCTACTTGTGGTCCAGCCTGGGTTGGTGAACTCATTTCAAATATGAACTGCATACTGTTTTCATTCATTCTTTTTTTTAGTCTAAATTAATGTATGTTTTGCAGCATTTCAAACTTTAAAATACTTTTAAAATATTCTAAGTTGCCAAATAACCCTATTCAATTCGAACTTCGAATTGAATATGGAATTATTCATTTCAATATTTGAAAGTTTCAAATATTTTCACAACCCTAAAGGCAACCCGTGTTCCCATTTGCATGCCTGTCGCACCATCTGTTGGTCTTAACAGGCCTTCAAAAGTCAAATTGGATGTTTAGTGATTTATACAGCCTAAGGTCGGTCTGCCAGTAGGGGCGACACTGGTTTACACTGTGGATGAGCAATTTTGCCAGTGCAGTACGACTGCTAACCTGGGGTCTTTAATCTGCTCACGCAGTAGTGATGCACAACCACATGCCGGTACGATGCTCATCCTGATTGAAACGGGCAGGGGCCTTAAGAAAGTAGGCCTTAAGAAAAGAAAAACTCCACCACAATATCAAAGTGATGTTGTGGGATGAAGCTTTCATTTGTCTATGAGATGAAAAGTGAGTCCTCCTCCTTATATTCAAGGTCGCCCAATGCCTCTGTGAACTGCTCATCTGAACTTGCAGCTGCACATTGTGCAGTCCAAGACTCTCTGCTGTTTGTCCATCTCAACTTGAGTTTTTTTGTGAGCCTCGGCTATTCGTCTCGCAAACATTTTCCACAAAATACAGACATGCTATCATCCTTACTTCTTATTTGTAGCTATAATTTATTTTTACTCCACAAGTGGTATATAAAACAACAGTCATATAGGAGTCAGTATTATACATGGTAGTATTCCAAGAAAGCGACGAATGTTATTTAAAACTGTGCCCATCTGTGCACCACATGATCTTGTGATCGGTTGCAGCACTACATTGAGCACAAGGTCATTTGGCAGGTCCCAGTCAAGGCCAACTACCTCAGTTAGGGTGACCACCCGTCCCGCGACTCGCGGGACTGTCCCGCATTGAGGGCTCGTGTCCCGCGTCCCGCAAGAAATTCTCAAACCTTCAAAATGTCCCGCATTTCATACTGTAGTAAAATTCACTGTGCAACTCATGGCGCTGCCGAACAACGGGGCACGGGGAAGCGTGGATGTCGCTGGTAATCGTGGGAATCGCAATGGTACACCATTTTCTATCCAAGCGTTGTGGGAAGCAACCATCGCTCTTGCAGGAGAACCGACGCGCATGCTCCGTTGTGCATCTCCCCTTGGCAAAATATTCTAAGAAGAATTGCTCACCAAAAGTTTCCATATAAAATATTGTAATTATTTTGAAATTACTGTGTCAACGCGAAAGGGTTGCTGTGGATTTTTGTTTTAGTGAAGGCAGCCATACAAGGCAAAAAGCCTCGCAACGGTCGAAAAAAGTATATAACGTTAAAAATTTGTGTAGGGCCATGTTGATAAAAGTAAGCGTTGACAGGAAACAGTAACCCGAAGAAGATTTACTGTCTTATTTCCATTTGATGAACTGAGTTCTGCTACAGTCGATTTTTATATTTTCAACTTCGACACATTAAGAACATATTTAGCATAAAAGATATATCACTGGGAGTGAAAATTAATTGAGCTTAATGGGCGCAGGTGTATAAACAGCACAGGATATTAAACGTGTTAACAGAGCCTGGGTTCGTGGTGCGTGTGTTAATAAATTCCCCCCCCCCCCCCCCTTGCGTGTCCCGCATTGCGCTTGCAGTAAGGTGGTCACCCTAACCTCAGTTAGGTGTTTTGCTCGCTATATGAAGGCGCTTGATATTATGACCTTCACCTAGAGTTGAAGTTCATGTCAACGTTTGTCCTTTTTTTTTTATATACCCACACTTGATGGCTGCGTCGGAAAAGTACTTGCAGTACAGAGAAGTGCTAGTATTAATGAATCAGCCGTTCTCCAGTGCTGCTGGTATTTTAAGGTTTAGGTCTTAAAAGTCCTTACAGTTCTGCATGGGGCGGCATACGAAGAGGTGTGTTGATCTTAACTTTTTCCTCACATTGTGTATTTGTTTTGTTGCCCATTTGTCTTTCGCTCCGAAGATGTCTCTTCCAGGCTCTTGTAGATGGCACTGTAGACTTGTAACGTGTTCCTCGATGAATTATTAATTTCCAGATTCATACACCGTACTGCTGGAGTCGTGTCATGGCACAGCCGGGCAACTAGGAGTGGCGTCGAGATTCTGGTGACGGCAGAGCATGGCCTACTTGGAGCTCAACGTGGAGCAAGTGAACAAGTCGGCCGAGCTACTCTCCTACAATGACCACGACATAGACTCCCTGTCCAACGTGGTCGACCCACGCCTTGACATCTCCTCCACGTCTTCCAAGAAATTTCTGGGTCTGTTGGAACAAACATCAACTTTCTTGTTCAGTTTAAACTCATTGGTTAGGTTGGCCATATCGAAGCGTCGGAGAAAAGAAAACATCGGAGTTGAAATGGGTAAGAGAGGGGGAGCTCAACCAAAGCACAAAGGTAGTCTAATCTGGTCGGAACAACTAAAAGGAAGCTCCTGAAAGCAACAAAGTGGCAGCTAAGCCATATTTTGCTAGGAGACTCAACTAGTTCAGGGTTTTGAAGCTTCTTCAGGTAGGAGACAGTTTTCAACAAATCATCATTAAAGGTATGACTACACGCATTGCAGTCATACCTTTGACAAACTCTAGATGTATGCTAGAACAACGATTCCAGGCAGTGTGAACACTGGTGTCAGACAATCACTTGTGGAGGCTGACACCTGATTCCACACAAACTACATTCAAGACAGTTTGTGTTGTTGACGCTGTATCTTAGGTACGCTGTTTCTTCATATTGAAACCCGAGACGGGGACAAAAAAGGACAATACGCAACTCTCATTGCTGTTTCTTTTTGAAATCCAGTGCATAGTCATAAAGGCATAATTTGAGAGGGTTAGCTCCCACACCTGCTGCTTTTGGGTGAGGAGGAGGGAAGAGCAGGAGAAGGAATGGAGACAAGGAGTGATATTTGCATTCAGGCTGAAAGCAATCTTGTTTGCCTGCCTAGCTAACATGCAGTCAAACCTGCTGTACTCCGTTTCACGATAACTTGGCAAACTGTGGAGGCTAAGGCCCCACGACCCAATGAGAGCATTGGAGCGAGGCACGTGACCCAATGTCGCGGCAGCATTCGTGTCACTACGCCAATTGCGAGGCTCGGAGAAACCGGCTGTCGTCTGCTAGCCATGAGCCGTCTGCTCCGAAACCAACCAACTTCGGATTAGTGTCCACCGCTGCAACATTTCCGTCTGCTAGAATAGCGAGCACTTCAGGAACAGTTCATGAGACAACCATACGCTTAATTTAGCCGCGAATTTGTGACGGGTGCTAATAACAGGGCACAGTGCGATGTGTTGAGCGGAAACGGCTGATTACACGGCTGCGATCACCGGCGATTGCCAACGGCCACAGTGCTACAAGGAGAACAAAATTGATAGCAGATACGGATGTGGCGTCACTTTTCTGGTTTAAATATAATTGAAACTCATAAATTTGTGATTTTTATTCTTTATATCTTCTCGTTAGAGATAGAACCGCACAAATTCAATTGCCGTTTAAAAAAAAAGAAGCCTAGACCTACTTTTTGTCGCTGTGACGGTAACGAGGTCCACGTGGCCTCGACCATGAAGTGTTATCACGTGCCTTGTTCCGGTGCTCTTATTGGTTTGTGGAGGCCGCAGCCTCCACAGTTCGCCAGGTTACCGTGAAACGGGGTATAGCGTGGGCGCTACTGCTTAAATCCTTGTGTTGCAGAAGCACCTTGTAAAGTATGACCACATAGCCTGTTAAAGTGCAGGGTAGAAAGAGCAACATCAATTAGCACTTTTGACATTGTACAAGGTGACAGTAATATTTTCCCTGGGGAATCTCAATATTTCATTTTAAGGCAATTGCTGTTTCCTTGAAATTTGGATTTTATGTCATTTTGATGCGATCCGATGTTGTGTGGCAGTCATCGTTATATCAGCTGTGAATTTTGGTATACTTCTGAAAACCTTTCTCAAATGTTTGATCACAGCTTCCTTTGGTGGATGTCTGTTTTCTCTTGTGTATAGTGTGATGCTCTGCCTAATGTTGCACACACTGCTTGCTTTGCTAGCCCTCACAATTTCCTGAAGCACTGCTCTGCTCTAGAAAAAAAAAAAACAAGCAGTATTGAATTGTGCATAAGGAATTGCTTTAGAAAGAACAAAGAGGAATTTTTACGCTGTTTTTGTCCCGAATCCTGCTTGTGTTCTTAATCGAAAACATTCAACTTCCACACGGGCACATGTGGTCTATATTACATGCAATAGCATTTCATCCCCACGTCTCATGTTCACTGCCAAATTTCTCAAACTTTGGACAGAGTGTCTTCAACTTGCAAAATTTTAGTTCTCTTTGTTTCTACTGCACTATCAGTTGCCCATCCACTAACCCACATGGCAGCAGAATTACACGGCTTTGCTCCCAGGCGCACCGCTTTGACCCACCCCACAATTCCACGACTTTGCTGCACCGCAGACCCGCTAACCCACTGACCTGCGCACCCTTAAAACCATTTGCACCGCTCTACCGGTAACCGCGGCATGCTTCGTCGGTAACGTTTCGCAGTCCCCCTAAAGCGTAACGCTGTTTTCTGTTTGTTGGTGCCATTCAGCCGAGTCGGAGCAAAGCCGCCGGGAGAGCTTGGCTAGCTTGGGCGAGGTGGTGCCACGGCCGCAATACCTTCCGCCGTCGTTGCCGGAACCGAAAGAGGCGCCCGCACCACCGCCACCTGACGACGCAGTCTATCCTGACATCTCCGCTCTGGTGGGCGCCTTTCAACCGTCTTTTTGGCGTGCGGTTACTAACACTTGCTCCCATCGGTTCCCCCCGGTAGCATTCCAAAAAAACCTCGAGTGGTACGGTTTTGCTCCTTTAACCCTTTAACAACAAAAATATTTGTGTAATGCATTAAAAAAAATAAGCTTGCTGGTTAAGGTCTCGCAAGAAAGACAGGCACTTTGGTAATTGTGACGAGAATGCCATTTTCCAAAATGGGGTATCTCACAAATTTGCGACAACGGGTCACAGCGCAACTGACTTTTTGTGTGCACTCTGCATTGAATTAAATTTTTTCTCAGAAATAAATGTACAGAAAAAGTCTCTGAGTTGTGAGACAGTTGGTTGCTTTGTACCCACTTAAAGGGCAACTCCGCTCAATGCCAAAAGTTTTGGGATTATGAGTGATTTCCCATTAAGAAGCACAAACAAAAGACACTACGTCATTCGCTTTGCGAGGAATGGGATATATTTCGGGAAATCTTACTTTAAACGTGAGCAGGAACCGAAACCGAAACATAGACTCTGTCGGGCAGCACTTGCCTCGGTCTTCCAAATACACGGTTACCACGTGGTATGAGCGGTCACGTGATGCTCTATGAGACGACTGGTGGGATCGGGGCAGGCCACCGTTGGGGCGGGCGTATGCAAGGTGAAAGTGTCATCTGCGCCGCAGTCTTCACCACGTTTTGGCGTCTGCGATATCCGACGAGGTCTGCACAACTACAGGATCAGTCTGTGCGTGTAGTGTGAACAAAATTCTGTGAAACAGTAATCATCCGCCTGCATCACAACCGACGGGACGGCGGACGACTTCCAAGGCTGATGTCACCTGTTACGCTTGCCCGGAGAAGTTAAAAACAAACAAAAAACTGCAATGTTGATGACGTTTAACTGAATGTAGGCTATGCCAACACCGTAGCCTTGACTGTGCTGTTGATTGCGCCTGAATTCGTCCGCTAGAGATGGCCGATTTCGGCAACTTAACGTGTTCTAAAGTTTGCCAGACCGTTTAAGAAACATTTGGACAGGACTAGGTCGTAATACAGTTGAATCTCGTTATTTCAAAGTTGAGGGGGACTGAAAATTTGTTTGAATAAAGCAAAGTTTGAATTACCGGAGTTCCTTCCCATAGAGACGCATAGCATGGGACCTGCTTGTTAGTTTGAATTATCTGCAAGTTTGAATTAAGGGAGTTTTAATTAACGAGATTCCATTGTATTCGACAAGCGGTCTTCCTAGGTGATAGTAAAAAAAAGCTGAATTGATTACAAAAAAAAAAAATGATGCGAAGTTGCCCTTTAAGGGGGGATATGGCCTGAGAGGGTCAACTTTTGAACCCTTCACCCAATTTGGTTCAAATTTTGAGGGTTATTTCAGCACTATGAGGAAGGATAATCTGCTAAGTCTTAGCATTATCGGTGAACTTTACAGTATGCTACGATTTTTGCACTTCAGAAAAAAGACAACTCATTAGGAAGTCTATCGTAGAAAAATAATATTAGCTGGTGGCAAACTACCTGCTTCAATGAGAAGAACAATACCCACAGTGCAACCTAGATAAAAAATATATTGCAAAATATTCAATTATGATGAAAATAGCAACATCCCAAAATTTAAAAAAAATTGTAAAATTTTTATGTTTCAATTTTTTATTTTTTTTTTTCATGAAGGAGTGTATTTTTTTAACTGTGAAGTAGTCTATCTTGTTCCCCAGAAAATTTCAGTCCCAGAGAACCTTGAATGATGTCCCTCATTATTTTGAATGTCAAACGATAGCTTCCCTAAAACAAGAATTCCTGTCAAAAAGTGAAACTGAGAAAAATGTGATTGAAGTTTCAACTTCTGTTCTTTTTATTTTAGAACGATGCCAGAAACTTGAAATTCAACCGAGTCATTGGTGGAACCTTCAACTTCATGGGCGCATTGCTTGCTGGCAGCAGCTTGCGGCTTGTTTCTCAAAATCCGCCTGCGGCATAGGTGGCACCTTCGACCTCCAGGCTCTGTTGCTCCCTGGCATTAGCCTCCAGCTTCCGTCTTTTGTGTGCGAGCTTTGATGAGTCCTGTGCCTTCACTCTGGCCTTCACGATCTTCCCCAGAGTCGCCTTGTGGGCATGCTTCTCCTGGTGGCTTCCTGGGGTGATGCCCATCTCCAGGAGCGTCCTTTCGAAACCTTTAGGTCCAAGGTTGAACTCGAGGACAGCTAGGGCGACAGCTGTCTCGACAGTTCGCAAGGAGGCGAACTCCGTCTTGGGGCATCTCTTCCAAATAAGGGCGTTAAAAGACTCGTTCGCATTTTGTGTCATCATGCGGGAGCATCGGAGGAGCAACTCCTTTCGCGACAGCCGGTTGTACACTGGAACAAGCTCTCTTGCAACGTCTTTGGAGAATGCTGGTCTGTGTGGCCGTGGTGTCGAAGGCTTCCCTGCTGCTTCGAGGGCCTTGTGGCGGTTATAATGGCACCACGAATCCTCGCCATCTGGACAGCCCATGTGATGGGGCTCCTCGTCTGTGGAGTACGTGTGGAACAGGCTGGCAAAGATGGCTCGCTGCATCTTCACGACATCAGGCGCGTTGTCCTTCAAAGCGCAAGCATAGTAGTTCGTCAGCTTTTTCATCACTACGTTGGTCAGCTTCCCTTTTCCTCCCAGTCCTCTTTTTGTTTTCTTGAGTTTCTCCAGACCTGCATACATCCTCTTTGCTACGTGATTGACGCAATCCTCCTTGTGGATGTCCTTGTCGTACAGGTCAAGGCTGGACACATGCGTGAAGGCCTTGCTGTCGCCGTCGCACAAAACAGTGACGTACTGCATATTGTGTAGCTCAATAGACCGGCTGAAGATGGTTGCAGCTGCCTGTACCTCCATTGCATTGGACGATCCCTCGTAGTTCTTCTGGCAAGTTGCCTTGTGGGTTTCTGCCCACTCCTCGAAGTGTTCGTCGTCTTCCTTGGGGCCCAACTCGCACCCGTGGCAATACTTGCTCTGGACCGAAAAGTCAAGCACCAAGCCGGTCTCCAGTTCAATAGCAACGCCAACTCCGAAGTGCGATGTATGGCCACGTTTATGCCACGTGCCATCGTAGCTGATGCAGACATCTAAACGATCGCTGCCGGCGGTCGGGCTCCCGGTCGGTTGCGCGTCCCTCACGGCTTGCGCAGCGTCCCTCATTGCGTCACTCGCCGCTTGCATCGCCGCATCATGTACTTTCGCCGCGATCTTCTGGTACGACTTGACGTGCATCGGGGGCGGAGCGTTGAGGCCCCCGAAAAGATTCGTGAGCTTCGTAAAACTGATGCCACAGTCTCTTCCAACGACGCCGAGACGCACCGCGAGTTCGTTCTGTCGAGACTTGCCAATTGACGGTGAATGCGGTGTCGTGACGATGTCTCCGCAAGTCGAGCAGCTAACAACGAACTGAAGGTTGACGCCAAGTCCTTCTTCTCGCAAGCTCAGCAGTTCTCCGTGGCACTTGGGGCAGAGCAAAGCCGCAACAAGAGTTTGCACGGCCGACACACTGAGGAGCCGATAGCCGTCCAGCGGCTTTTCAACGGGAGCGTCCGTCGGCTCCGGGTCGTCCGTAGTCCCCGCGTCGAAATCGAGCAGGCTGAGCTTCTTCTCGAACGTGGTCAGCACATCCGATTCGGAGGAGACAGGAAGCCGATGAGCATTCAGAGATGAAGCTGTAGGCTCCGATGTCCGCAAAGCCGCACTTGAGTTTGAAGATGGTGATGGTGACGGCGGCGGCGGAGACGGCGACGATGGTGCCGGCGGAGACGGGTCCCCGTCCTTTGCGTGGAGTGCCGCTAATCGACCCCTCGGTTTTCGCCATCGAGAACGCCGGCCAAAGCTACTGCGAGTGCTAACCTTGGAGGCAGGCATTCTTCGGCAGAAAAACTACCGGGAACAAAAAGGGAAAACGAATCTAAACAGCGGCGAAGTAGCGATACGATCAGAAGCGAAAGAAGCAGCCGAAAGCGCGCGTATCAGGCGAACAAGGAGCTACGTCACCGAAGGCGGCCAATCATGAGCCCCATTTCGGGTCGCAACCAATGGGATTGCTGGTATCACAGTTCCCACGTTTTTTCGGCTTGTTTGTACGGGGTTCTCCCGGGCCACAGATAGCCTCCAATGTAGCAAGCTTCTACGGGCAGAAACTAGAAGAAACGGCGCTTCCAACGAGGGTAAGATACCTCGGCTGCGTTGAACGAGCGCGGAGTAGGCCTAATTTGAAAATGCCGAACTTCGCTGTTCTGCTCGCTCAGCGGGTCGCCGCGCGCGGCCCGCGCAGCCGCGAGCTTGCCGAAAATAATTTTTTGCGAAATAAATACTGCGTATTTATAAATGAAACTTTCTGAAACTATGCTTCAGAATATAGTAAACCCAAATATAATATTTTTTAAAAATGCATTTTTTCGAAAAACAATGGAATTTCGGGGCCGTATCCCCCCTTAAAAAACAAACTAACAGAGCACTGAAAGCATCCAGGCACGAGCTGTACAGCTGGGGAAACTTGTGAAAACAGTTGGAAAGCTTGTTCAAGTAAAGATGAGCATTGCATTTGCTGCACATTATGATGGAGTGTTCTTTACAACCCGGTTGCTTGCACCGCTGTGTCGTGTCCTTGACCACCGGCTGGTGTCCCTACTGTCCGTGTGGACGTCTTTGTCAGGATTGTGTTTGGTGGGCCCCCATCGTTTCCAAATTCCGAGCTAATATTAGAAAGAGCTCTAGGGTTGTCCTCCTATATCTTCTATAGAAATTAATTTACGAGCTAACAATACTTTTTCAACATCGCTCAAAACGTGACACACGCACATCACTGAATGACGAATGTTGCAAATTCGTGACAAAGCAAGCATAGCATTTTTCTTTGTAAGGAAACTCGAAATTAGCGTGAAGTGCAGCTCAGAAAGTTACTTAGGACTACAGATATTTTAGAAAGAATTTGAAAACAACATCTCATCTAGTGCTTCAGTGATATAGTGACTGAAAATCGGCAGGCCACCTGCTCGATAGTGTTGTCTGCCAGCAAAACTTGATTCTGGCGCGAAGTGTACTACGCCGCCAAAAGATGGAGCAAGGTGTCTATGGCATATTGAGACATACATGTCGCAATTTCACGACAGTTGGCATCGGTTATGTAGATGGAGGCGGCTCTATAGAATGCATATAACTGGTACGTCGCAAATTTGCAACACTCGTCCAAACAGGGTTAAAGAATGGCCTCAGGTCAGGAATTACTATTTATTGCTTAGAACCAACTTACATACCACATACTTGTGAACCCTGAGACGGGGAAGATAAAAAAACGGACAAAACATCACAAAGAGTTCCTACACAAAATTTCAATGGAATCTTTCGAGGATCATGCACATGGATAAATGTTTTTTCTTTTTTAGCATGTCCAGAAGTGCTTTGTGACATAAAAAATGCAAGCGTGCTGTTTGTCTCTTCATTATGTGCCTGCCGTTTATTTTTACGCAGAATGCTTTTTGGGCTAGAATTCCATTAAAATATCTCCCCAAAAATGTGTAATGCAAAAGTGAAACACATAATTTCCCCATTAAGTTTTGTGGGAGAATTTGAATCTGTGTATAATTATACACCAATTATACTTTTCCACTAAATTGGGTGGGGAAACACTTTCTTGCTGGGACATAATGAGCATAGAGAGAAATTTCACCAAACAAACTGTGCATCTCGGCTTAATTATAGAAGTCAAGAACTCAAACGTTTTCTCTCTCTGTCTCCCTCTGTTTTGTACTGTCTCCCTGTGGTAAAAAGAGCAAAAAATCTGACATAGTCTGCAAAACCTTTCTCACCTCAGGAGCCAGTTGGTGACGAGATGGGACTGTAATTGCCGTAGTGGTATTTTGGTTTTGAGATCAAGTTCTCGCCTTTTTCATAGAGAATTTTGGGGACTACCTCACCGTCTGTTTCGTAGGGGTTGCGCTTGTCATTGCTTCGTGGATCCCGAAAAACAGTAGTGACGACAACGGGGGTGTGCCGCACGCGTATCCAGGTTGCGGAGTACGTGGCCGCGGAGGACCCGGCGCTGTGCAGCCGGGTGGCGCAGACCATCGAGGACCACTCCCGGGTGCACTCACCCCGCAAGGGAGCCCCGGTCAAGGCGGCGGCGACCGTGCCTAGGTCGCCGCTCAAGTGCATGTCGCAAGCCGCTGACATACTCTCCGTGCAGCAGTCCACCATTGGTGAGTGTTGCCGTTGGTCAGTGTCGCCATTGGTTAGTGTTGCCAGTGGCCAGTGTCACCATTGGTCAGTGCCACCATCAGCCAGTGTCACCATATTTCAGTGCTGCCATTGGTCAGGGTTGCCGTTGGTCTGGTTTGCCATTGGTCATTGTTGCCATTGTTCGGAATGACGGCCAGAGTCGGGGAGAATTGCGAAAATGTACTGTTCCGTTAAAGGGGCACTAAAGTGGTTTCTGAGATTGTCTTTTCATCCCGCAGACTCAGTATATGCACCTTCAGCGTCCTAGAAAGCTTCATGCATGGCCTTTCTCTTCTTTAAAAACTCGACCAAACATCGTGAAGCCCCTCTTGGAGAAAGGGTCGTGTTGCAATGTTCATTGGCATTTTTAACGGGGGAGAACCACGCACGACAATAATTTTGGGTTTTCTAGCACGCTGATTGCACATAGATTGAGATTGTTCTGTAAAGAGACAATCTCAGACTCCATTTTCATGCCCCAGGAGTGCACATTGCTCCTGGACATGCCAGTCTTGGCGCTCCCTTCCACCTCTTGTCACGGAGAGCCGAAGGCATGCAGTGTCGCCCATGTTTTCTCTTTAATGCACTAAGTTGGGCTTGCCAGATTTTAACTCTATCTTGCATGACCTACAACACTTCGTTGCTCCCAGGTCTTCCCCTGAAGGTGGCGCCACCAAACGAAGCGGTGTACCAAGAGCTCGTCGAGTACCCCTCGGAATCGGTGGTGGCGTCGGTGGACCAGAGGACCTCCTGGCTGCGCACCATCCTCACCAGCTCCGCCGCAAACGCCAACCACGCACCACCCAGCGAGACGGCTGCAAAGGCAGGGCCTCGAAACGTGCGTACCCTTCGCCCGCTAAAACAAAAAACAAAAGGAGGGGGCACAACCAGCGTCAGTCAGCCTTCCTTGGCATTATTAGATAGTGAGGTCCTGATCCCTTGTTATCATCTCTAGGCATTGTTTTTGAGGTCGTCCTAGAAGTCGTCCTTGAAATCGTCCGAGAGGTCATCCTAGGCGTCGTCCTCGAGGTGATGTTAGAAGCCGTCCTAGACGTCGTCCTCAAGGTAGTCCTCTAAGCATCTTCCTCTAGGTTATCCTAGAAGTTGTCTTTGAGGTCGTCGAAAAGGTCATCTTCGAGGTCATCCTAGAAGTCGTCCTTGGGGTCGTCCTAGAAGTCGTCCAAGGTCGTCCTAGGCGTTGTCCCTGAGCTCATCTTAGAAGTCGTCCTTGAGCTTGTCTTAGAAGTCATCCTTGAGGTCGTCCTCAAAGTCGTCCTAGTCGTCGTCCTCTAGGCGTAGTCCTTGAGGTTGTCGTAGACGTAGTCCTCTAGGCGGCGTCCTAGAGGTCGTCCTCTAGACATCGTCCTAGACGTCATGAAAATAACAGCTTCGCTGGTCCTCCATCTTCACGTCAAGTGGAAGGGCCCTACAATTTTTTCATTGTGCACCACAGGTGTTAGCCAGGACAAGACCGAGTGCGCCGCACGGGTGCTACCTTACATGGCTTTTGAGTGATGCGCGACGTCAATGAAGCAAGCAGGAACGTGATGACACCACATCCCTCTAGTTTTCTGTCGACATGTGAGGACACATTTTTTCTCAGACCCTAGCATATAGCAGCTTCGCTATAAAAACTGCACAAACCCCACACGAAGTGTGGTTTGTGTTAATGTTCTGTGCTCCCTGGTCTGTGCTCCCTGGTCTTTGTCAGCATGATGGAGTAAACGAGAATTTTGTTTGCATTGGCGAAGTCTTTCTGTCATGGCTGCAGCTCGCCTAGAACTGGAGGCTCACTGGGGGGTGCCTTTTGTGGTGCAAACGACACAGGGCCCGGTGACAACAGGCAGGAAGGAGCTTCCGTCGGTGCACTACTGGAGGCGTCCTTCCGAGGACGTGGGCGGGGCCTGCCTCCCCCCGGACCTGGACAACCTGGACTCGGCGTCGGTCTGCTCGGAGACGGAGTCGAACCTGTCGTGGGCGAGCGAGGCGGACGAGGAGATTCGGCTCATCAAGAACATGCTGGCGCCACGCCGCGGCGACCGTCCGGCGACCATGCCAGAGAGGTTGCTGTCGAGTGAGGCCACGCAGACAGACCCTCTATCCACTCGGTAAGTGAACTAACGGGAGGTGCCATCATTGCAGTATGGACAGCGTCGGAATGTTGCTCCTGCCAATCGCGAGGCTCCTCTTTTGGATGACAGTGATTGGCTGTATGCATGCCACTTATTCTAGACCGCACTCATGAAAGATATGTTTGGTGGAATTTTGTGGTTTGTTATTGAAGGCAAATTACATTTCGTGCACGGTGGAACTTTGGTTCGTAAACCTTGTCGGAGCACTTTGTGTTGTACGAAGATAGCATTTTATAATGGGATAAAAAATTTCCCGATCTCCTCTGATTTTGTGGAAGTAAAATTTTGCTGCGACCAATCGTGTGGCCGCCCCTTGCCCATTGTCAATTTCCAACATCTAGACGGAGACAGCCCGTGTAAAATTGACAAGAAGACAGACAACAACAAACCGAATAGAATGAAAAGGACTCTGTTTGAAAACATTTTCTAATGGAGCACATACATAAGATGGCGATAGCGTACCAGGTCTACCGCCTGTGTGAAGTGCACTGTCAGCTAAGCAGTTGCCCCAATTCAGCCAATACTGGTGACGGTAGGATGTTTCATCACCCGATACACCTTTAGCAAAGCGTGCGGCGCCATTTGCAGTGCCGAAGTGAGTACTGGGAACGGCCTGAACAGAGCCAGCTTTAGCAGATGATGGAGGTGACCTTAGAGGCAACAGAGGACATGCAGGCAAGGACAGGCGAGCAACTGCAATACCCTCTCTCTCTCTTTCTCTTTAGTGTCATGTGGTAGATGCTGCGGAAGTTAGAAGGTGCTCGCGGGACGTTCCCATAATTCGTCGTGTGCTTTGTGCTTGGCCTTTCCGAACTTGTGCAAATGGTCTATTGTTGTCCCCTCTCGCGGGGGTCTAATCTTCATTAGCTCGTTTGTGCCCAACTTTCCGTTTGAAAGGTCTACCGCCGTTCCCCCCAGGGGCCTCCCGACAAAGAACGCGTGCGTGGAGACGGACGCGACAGAGCTGCCGACGCTGCTGATGGAGAAGGCGCACCTGGAAGGGGAGCTGGAAACCCTGGAGGGCGAGCTGGGCCGCCTGGTGCAGACGCGCTCGGAGCTTAAGTCCCGGGCGGCCGAGGCCGAAGCCCGCTGCCGGCAGCTGGTGCGGGAGAAGGAGGCTTCGCTGGAGAGGGAGGCCGCCCTCTCCCAGGAGCTGCAAGGCCTGCGGGCAGAGGCCCTGCGCTATGGGCGCGTGGTCGGAGACTACGGCAGCCTGGTGACCTCGCGGGATGCGGAGGCTGGCTCCCTTCACGACCGGGCGGAGGCCCTGGCGGTAGAGAACAAGGAGCTCAGGACGGCCCTCGAGGAGCTCAAGGTGGGCGCGCATTGTTTTTCTTTTCGACCGTTTGGCATCGACACGTCCGAGGTTATCGCAAGGCTGTCCGCGTAGTGGAAGGTTAAGGGATTGTTCGCACGCTTGCGTCTGCTTGGGACCAAGTTCCCGTAATCCCTTAGGATGAGAGTACGTGCCTAAAGTGCTGGATGTCCCGACCTATCCAAGTACCGCCATCGTTTGATCGGTCTGCGGGCGCTCCTATTGGATGCCAGTGATGCGTTGCCATCTTTGGCTCATGGCGCATCCCTCATCCAGACGCACACGCTCCTTTTGCTCTGCTGCGGCTGCCGGCGACGCGCCGCTGTTTGCAAGCATGCTTCTACTGGTCTCTACTGTAAATGCCGGCGCCGCACCACCGCGACAAACTAGATTGGCGGCGGCGCTTTTTACTTAAGTGCGTCCGAGAATGCACCAGCTTGGTGGCACTTGTTTATGAAATCCATACAGCTCTTTATATCCACACTGCCGCCGTCTGTGATGTGACCCGGGAACGGCATTTCACTAGAGCGAAGGCTTTGTGGTATTCGGGAGATCAAATTGACCTGCTGTCTACGAGAAATGGTCGCTTATAACATCGTCAAAAGTTTTTCGATATATAAAGAAAAAAAGATGCGCGAAAAGGAAAAAAGATATATACGGGGACTGCGAGTGTTCCCCGGTTACCCGATAGATCGTGCCGGCGTGTTCTCTTGTTGCGAGAGATTTAGGAGGTTTTAAGGCCTAAGCGGTAGCGAGTGTGTGATCCAGCCTTACTGATACCCCTCAAAGTTTTTGTTTTATTTTTGCCAGGCAATTTATTATGGTGTCAGAAGACTTCCCATTCAGTATTTTGCTACAGTGTCGCATATATTTTTATTAAAAAAAAAAAAAAAGTAGCTGCGCGAAACCAAAACTGGACCGGGGAGAAAGAAGGCATATAGAGGAGAAGAGAGCTGGCGGAAGTCACGTGGCTGCGCAACCTTTTAATGTGAAAGCATTAACTGGTCCCATGGAGCGAGCCAACATCATCAGCCTTGAATCTGCGCCAAATGGCACCTTAAATCCTTTCTCCAAGCGAAGTCAGCTCCCAGCTATGAAACCATACAAAAAGCCCAGCCAAACAGCACCTACCGTATTTATTCGAATATAAGGCGAGGTTTTTTTCCACAATCCGTAGTCTCAAAGTCATACCCCGCCTTATATTCGAAGCTCAGTATAGCTATATGACGATTTTTTTTCTTTTTCTTGGGTTTTTCAACTGCCCCCTCGCCTTATAATCATGACCGCCTTATATTCGAATAAATACGGTAGTTTCCCCGATCCCAAAAAAGCGGAGTAAAGCTGATGGATTTCAGCTTCAGTCCCATTGCCTGGCGCGCGTTGATGAAGATCCCATTTGCTTCTGCGCGTCAGTTTCAATGACTGCCACCCTATGGCGCTGCGTGTCTGCGAGGCAGCTGCTCCACTGCTCCACGCCCAAGGTCAGCGTGCTGAGGACAGCGCACACGCTCGACCGTCGACGCAAGTATGCCGCAGACTAAAAAAGGGAGCGGAAAAGCGGCGTGCATGCTTTCAGATTCACAACTCATAAGAAGTGCTTAGGTGTACCTCGAGCCCTTTTGTTAAATCTTACTTTAAACGTGAGCAGAAGTCAAAACTGGAACTCCTGCTCTTTCTGGAAACAAACGGGGTATGAGATGTCACGTGATCGCAACAAAGGGGGCGGGTTTGTGCCAGGAGGAGGTGTCGTCTGCACCGCACTCCTCACCACATTTTGGTGTCTGCGACGTTTTTGCAAGATCTGCACAGTTGCGGCATCAGTCTGCGCACGTAGTGTGAACGAAACTCTGAGTCAATAATCTGAAACGGTGGGACGATGACGGCGGTTGTGACACGGGAGACTGCGGTAATGGCGGGACGGGCGGACGGCTCCCAAGAAGCGTGCTGCGCAGGCGTGTTACGCCAATCACGTGGACATTGCTGAGCACCGAGAGGAATCGTTGCTGGGGTCACCCGTTACGCTTGTCCGGAGAAGTAAAAGCAAACAAAAAGGGGCAATGGTGGTGACGTTTAGCTCAATGTTGGCTACGCCCACGCCGTAGCCTTGACTGCGCTGTTGGTTGTGCCTCGATTCACCTGCTAGAGTCAGCCGATTTTGTCAACTTGGCACATTGCAGAGGTTTGCCGGACCGTTTTAAAATACAGTTAGAACGTAATCGTAATATTTGATGTCTGGTCTTCCTAGGTGACACTGAAAAGGACTGCATTGTTTCTACAGCAAAGCTGTTAGGTGCTAGGATCTGGAAACAAAAGGGGTCCATGGATGTTAACAAAAAAAGTCCCGTTCAAACAGCACTCTTTCGTTCCGATTGGTCTTGGCAACTATAAATTGAAAGTGGGGGCAACCCACGTGAGTCAGCCTTTTTTGGCATTATTAGACAGTGAGGTACTGATCCCTTGTTATCATCTACGGTCACCGACTTAGCTAAGAGTGCGCTGTGACGAGGCTGAGGGCAGAACACGCCAATCTAACCTTCTTTTCTTTTGCTTCCGCAATGCTGATAAGGAGACTTGGGCTCAATCAGAAAAAACTGTCCTCAGGGTGTGCCTCGAAAAATTGGGTTTAGAACTTACGACAACGTGTATTGAAAGATCTCGTCGCCTTTATTTATGTATGTTTCTTTATTCAATCAGTATATCAATTCGCTGTAACGTCGCTGTAAAACCTAAAATAGCTACCAACCAATCGCTGTGTTCCTTTGTCTCTTGTTGTAGCCATTTCCTAGCGATGTTATCAGTTGCCCTTTGGACTTACCATGGGTAGGCAGCGTGTTGTTCGCTCTGAAGAGAAAGAGCCCGTCTACAAGTATATTCTGCGCGTTCAGCTGTGCGAATGTGTGCGAAAACGTTGAGAAGCCGGGCGCGCAGCGGCTTAATGTGGTGCGGCCTCACGTTTAACACGAACACGAATGTATCCAAAGTCAAAATGCAAGCAAAGGTGGTTTGCCGTAGTTACCATGAGGCAATGATCACTTTAGTCACTAAGAATTATAAAAAGACAATTAAACAACGAAGCCTTGTATGTGTCTTCGCCTCGCAGGTGGGCTCATTTTCGTCTTCTGCGCATGAGAAAGGAGGCGCGAAGGCGGGAGAGGAGGTTGATGACGATTCCGACTAAGCTCCGCCCTCGCACATCTCGGGGGAGGCCGGGACGTAAACAAACATCGGCGTCGGCCATGGCGGCCGTGCTGTAGCGGCAACCGCGAGTCTTTTATTTATTGTAGCCCGGTTAAAATTTGCCGCGTCCACAAGATCGAGCAGCTTTGTGCCCCTTACGATTCCTCCGTCGTCTGCTAGAGGCATTTCGAAGATTCCAAGATGAAGACGACGAAGAGCATCAAAAAGAAGGCGCTTGCCTAGCCTCGCGATTGTTTTTTTTAAGCTTTAGACTGAATTGTTTTCTGTGGTTTGTCTGACTCGTGAGATCCACAAATTTGGCTGAGTAAGTGACCTTCATTTTTCATCTGGTCGTGCATAGATGTCTTCATTACAAAGTAATGGGTGACCAGTTCTGATCACGCGGGAAGAAATTTTTCTTATTTTCTTTGGTATTTTTTTAACACTAAATATGTTTATAGCCTAGACTTGGCAGGATTTTATGAGAGCGACGTGGTGAGGCATTATGCTTTATCTTTGACCTTTCTTGAAAACATTTAGCAAGTAGTGTTTGAAGATACTTATGATGTCTCGGTATCAGCGGCAAAACAACAGCGGAGACAAATCCTGCACACAATTCATGGATACTCTTGAATGGAATATCATGCAGTACGGCAGTGAAGTGGGACATAAACGCACACAGCGATCTACTGCCTTTACCTGGTACTAGCTAAGGGGACATAATTTTCATTTTTTCCATCGAATCTCACGAGGCAAAGTCTGGCATTAGGTGGGCTCGCTGTGATTTACAATCTACTGCACAATGGAGAGGTCATTCTCGATTTTTGCAGGTGGATCTGGAGTCCCGCTGCGGGGCGGTCGAGGGCCTCAAGAAGAAAATCGCGGAGCTGCACGTGGAGAGCCAGTCCCACGTGCGTGCCCGCGCCCAGCTGGACTCTGAGAACGCCAGCCTCCGCAGCGAGCTGTCCGTCGTCGAGAAGGCCAAGGAGTGGTTCCGCGAACAGCTGCATGAGAGCCAGCAGGGTCGCAACCTCCTGCACCGCGAGCGCGTCTCCGTCGAGGCCGCCAAGATGGCTGCCGAGAGCGCCTGCGAAGGCCTCAAGGCCGAGAACGCGCGCCTCGCGCAGGAGCTCTCCGAAAGTCGGCAGCGCTCGCTGCGCGACAAGGAAGGGCTCATGCGGCGCCTCGAAGACATCGAGGCCGACTTGCTCGAGCGGGAGGCCGCCCTCTCGCGGGAAGCCTCTTCCGCGGCGTCCGGGCCGCGGAAGTCCGAGAGCAACGACCTTTCCGGGAAGCTGCGCCTCGCGGAGGCAGAGGAACGACTGCGGTCCGCAGAGTCTACGCTGGCGGCACGGGAGGTTGCGCTCGCCGCATTGGAGAAGGACAGGACGTTGCTGGCGACGGACGTCCAGCGGCTGAGGCTGGCGCTGAGCGAGAGCGAGCTGGGGCGGCGTAACCAGGAGGAGCTGCTGAGGGAGGGGGCGCAGAAAGTAAGGAGGCTGCAGGGAGAGCTGTCTGCAGGACGGGAGGAGGCGGCGGAGCTGAGAACGCAGCGGACGGCGCTGGAGGTGGCGCTGGCGGCGGCCAACGAGGACAAGCGGGTGGTGGGGGAGGCGCTCGGGGCGCTCACGGAGAACCTGCACAAGCTAGAGGCCAACTTCAAGCTCATGCGGACGGACCAGGTTGCCAAGGCTGCGCAGGTTGGCGACCTCTTCTCACGAGGCCTGTGCATTATATCATCATTACTTGGTCTGCCCTTAACGGCAGGCACGCTCGACGAGAGCATGGCGCAAAGTGGCGTGTGTGTTGGCGTCACCGCACGCTACCGTCGCGCTCGTGATACGCTGTGAGAAGTGCTGGCGTCGATGCTGATGGATTCACTAGTGATGACGTTGGGGGGTAAAACGCGGCACTCTCAAATTGTGTCAATGAGCAAGCAAGACGAACGAGCGTGGCGACAGCTTTGTTCTGGTAGGACTGTGCAAGCTCGAGGCCAAAGAGAGTTTAACTGCCGTTCAAATTGTTTGTGGCGCAAATTCTCGTTTTGTCTCTTTTAAAAAATTTTGTTCTCGCAAAGTGTCGAATGATTAACAAGTGATCACCTAAAAAAGTGTGAAAAAATGTGCGAATGGATGATACGAAGCACACTTTCAGCAAACATTTATCGAAAAACTTTCAGCCTTTCCACTCTGGTGAAGAAGGAAGAGCAGCAGAGCTGTAGCTTCTGTGTTGAGCAGTGGCTTTCCAGGCGAGCGATCTGCTCTTCTTTCGCAAGAGAATCTGAAGCGCTCGATGCAGTGGAACTTTAGGCGATAGTGGCCTCACGGCAATCATGAAACCATTCGCGCTGCTGCGCACATCGCCGCTCGTTCCGCTCCCAATCTTCCTCCGAAGAAAGGTTGCCGCCATCTATGAGCGACAGCGGCAACCAGTTGTCTGGTTGCCACCGTCACTTATAGATGGCAGTAGCTGCCCACAGTTCAGTGTCATCATTTCTTTGCTGGTGGACACGATCCTGGGGAACCTAGCCCTTAATTAAAGGACACATGCGAAGGAAAAAAACTTTTTTTTAGAAAGGCTAGATGGAGAAAGAATATTATAAAATGAATTTACAACGAAGAAAAAGAAATTTAGAGTTATATTTACGGCGCAAAACGAATTTGTATTTGGCGCCCGCGGGAGCCGCTGCTGGTCACGTGGTAGGCCCGCGTCACACCGCCGCACGCTGAGTGTTGTGCGACGCAGCCTCAACGCGTTTCTCCACGCTGCCGTCGCCGCCGCCGCACAAGTTTGTCTGCTTCGGGGCGCTGCCGCCGTCATCTGACCGGCGCACGGGTCTATCACATCTGCTAGCGCTTTTTCAGGAGTTTCCTTTGGGCTCTAAAGGTTAGTTATTAATCTTAGTTTTTTGTTATATTTCAAACAAAGATGAATAAGTTACTTTTAGAGGCCATAGGAAGCTTTCAAAAGAGCGCAAGAGCATATGACAAATATGAGCCAGTCACGTGATAAATAAGGGCTACTTTTCCGTGGCGCCCGCGGGCACCAACTACAAATTTGTATAGCGCCGTAAATATAGCTCTAAAAGTTTTTTTTCTTCATTGTAAAATTGTTTTATGACATTTTTTTTCCATCTAAGCTGTTTAAAAAAAATTTTTTTTTCCTTCCAATGTGTCCTTTAACAGCTCCGCTGTAAAAATCAATCGCTCGTATAGCCATAGCAAAATGCTCAAAAACGACTAATGCCGGTGCAGCCCCCGTTTCAAGAATGCATATTCCCTCGCAACTATATAAGTGTTTGATTTTGCGATACATGTTAGTTGGGAGCATGCCCCGTATAGTCCACTTTCTCGTCCTTTCACATTTTTTGGTACCTTTTGGGGTGGCCATGGCACAATCGGCCCAAATTGCCATTTTAATGATAAATTAGATATGTGTACTTCGCTCAAACTTCCCCATTGCACTGCTAGTGCAGAATGTATGGGGGCTGAGAGCTAGTCCAGCCATCTGGTGCGCACCTTGTTTTTTTGGTCCCTATTTTTTACATAAAATGCTTATACGTACTGTATTTACTCGCATAATGAACACACTTTTTTTTTCCCCAAAAAATTTACTTATATTGGGGGGGGGGGGGGGGGGGGGGGGCGTTTATTACATGGAGTAAAATTTGTTCGTTTACGCACTTCGTGCAAATGTCATATTAGGTGCCAGTATGACACGGCAAGGTACTGTGGCACGTCTCGACTGATGGAGGCGCACCCACGGCTGGACGGGGGCATGCCACAGTAACCATGCTTTATAAATTGCTAACCTTTTTAGGGCAGTTTCGGCGTGCCATTTGCCGAAGGAAAAGCGCCCTATGAAGCTCACTCGCCACGAAAAGCAACGGGACCGTTTTTAGGTAATATATATTGCTAGTATCCGGCGGGGCGCTCAGGAATATACTGCGACTACGCATATAAGAACTCGTACAATGTTTGACCGCCGAGGCCCGCTCGCACGGATAAGGTTTCGTTCACGGAGACGGCTGTTACCAGGGGCTACCAGACGCTCTCAACCTATGACGCAGCGTGCACCTTGCTGTGCCGTTTTGTTACGGATTAAATAAACACATTTACCCGGAGTATGTGAAATTAGGCCTAACACTTTCACGATTTCACTGTCCGAAAGCGGACCACAGACGACGACGTGTTTGTTGACATCATTGCATCCGATAGGTGAAGAATGTCCGGGGCTGGGCAATTCCTCGACCCAAACTTTTTCAAGTGTGTGCGCCGCTCAGCTTCATGGTTGATCACTTCCACAACTACGCAGTTGCAGACATTACAAGAGCGGCTTGGCTTGGCTTGACTTGGCCTGACCGTTTCGCAGCTAAAAAAAGTGGGCTTGGTGGATAGCTAAATTGGATGCAATCTGAGACTCGCAGAGCCGAAAATTGAAAGTGCATTCATTATGCGAGAAAAAAAAAAGTCAAAATATTGGTATCCGTTGTAGGGGGTGCGTTCATTATGCAAGTAAATACAGTAAATCATATTATTATTATTGTATCGTGGGTGCTACAGCATGTACTATCTTAATCCCAGTTAGCGGAATCACTGGAGCGCGTGGCATCAGGTACTATCTGAGCACTTTGACGACCCCGTTTGCAACAGCTACTGCAGCAATCCAGACGTGCTCCAGTTGCGTGCCAGGTTGTTAGAGTACTTTGATAGTACCCGAAGCCACGCCCTCCCTTGTTCCTGCGAAAGAGCGATTAAGATGGTACCTGGTGGCACATTGCCCTTTCGAAGGGACCATATAAACCGGTCTACTAACAAACTGCGACATCATTTAGCCCGAAACTCACGGGGACTCCGGCCGCTTCTGTCGCAGCTATCGCAGCTGGAGCGGGAGAAGCATTCCCTGGAGGAGCGCCTGTCTGAGGCCCAGCGGGAGCTGAGCCTGTCCTGTCAGCAGTTCGACTCCCAAGCAACTTCCCGGTCCCAGGCCTGGGGGGTGGAGGCCAACGACCTGCGCCGGCAGAAAGCGGACCTCGAGCGCGTCGTCCAGATGCTCGAGGGGGAGCTCAAGCAGGCCTCCGCCCGGGCCAGGGAGGCTGCGGACGAACGAAGCCTCGTCGAGGTGCGTCCCCGTAAGAGGGCCTCTAAAGGCTGGTTCGTGCAGCTGCCTTCCGTTGTGTTGAGTGTATTGCATTCTCCTTGTCCATGTATCTATGTATTTCTGCGGCGCATTTTCTTTAAGTAAAGAATCTTGCCTGGGAGAAAGAAACGGTCCCACCCCCGATCATTGTGTATGGATCAACCCACGCATCCTCGAGCTTTCCGTAGGGAGCGCGTCGAGCAAATTTTCCCTTCCGTGAGCCCCGGGGCTTGCTCAATGCTGGTGCCAACCTCTGGCGTAGGCACGAGTGCCGGGCACCGAAGTAACAAATTAGGTATTGTCTCCTCCGCATGCACCGCAGAGCGTGTCCGTCACGTTGGTGTCTTACTTCCGTCTGTATTGGAAGTGTGCGACGAGACAGTAACACCACCTAGCAGAAGCATTTAGCATCGAACATGACCAGACCGGCATAGAAGTCTTGTGTAGCAGCCAAGCCCGGTTAGCTAAAGTTATATTGTCAAAAAGGAAACGAGCCAGATGGCAAGTTTCAAAACTAGCCAATATCTTACTCAAAAGTTATAAATGTTTTTCTAAAATTTTCGGTGGGAGAATAGCAGCTGACGGAGCTCTTGAATACATGGCACTGAGTGACAACAGTTGCGAAAACGGGTCCCCTTTTCCGGTGTTGGGAAGTACTTTGAGTACATTGTACTTAAAGTGCTACCTCAATTAGGTTTAAAAAAAGCTTGAACTTTACTTAAAATTCATTCTCTGAGTATGTACTCGTACTTTACTTCGAGTCTTTTTTTTTGGTACTTTCCGAGGAAAATACATCTCCCGAATTCAAAGCACATTCCTCAAATTTAGACTCGTTAAATTCGTGTCCCGAAATGATGCTTTGTGAACCTCTAAGAAAAATTGCATATCGTCACGTGAAAACGCGCTATCGTCTTTTGAGACGTCATCTGGTCATTTTTCTGAACAAAGTAGTTGGGGTTATAAGACTGACACAAATAGTGCATTACAAGTTGATTCTTTTAAATGGTTTATTGGCGAGAGTAAAACAACCACTCTGAGGCCACTTGACTTTATCCAATATTCGCCGCCATTCTCGAAAATAACTGATGAACTCCCGATTTCTCCCGGGTCAATGCATACCAGTTTACGAAAAACGCTCTATAGGGTAATGAAAGGGCATCATGAAAGATTGTGTTAAAAAGTACTTGTACTCTACTTTGAAAGTAGATTGTATTTATTGTAGTACTTTACTTCGAGTTCTTTTTAGACATACTTTACCCAACATTGCCCTTTTTCATTTGAATTTTCAGAAAATCTCTTATAACTTTCAAATGAGGTAACGGTTAGCTCTGAAACTTTGGCAACTGGTTTGGACCACTATTGGTGCATTTGGGCGGAAAACGAGCGTTTGGGAGTGCATAGGTTACTTTTGCAACAAAAAAAAAGCACTCTAAATTTTTGAGGGGGGGGGGGACACATTGTATTTGTAGTACCAACAGGAAGTGCAGTGTTCCGGATAATAAGGTCCTTAAAGCCTCTACCTTCCCTGGAAAGCAGCACCACAGCCGACTTGCTGGCACCAAAGTGTAGTTGGAGCCGATTAGCTTCTTCTTCTCACGCAATCGGCAGTACTTTTGTGTCTAAAACAAATTCAGCCATCAGAGGGAGGCCTTCAGCGAAAGAGATCGTGGGGAGCCACCTTTTTATCGCAACCCCCGTGCTGCATGTGTTGTAAAGTGAGCCCAACGCTTGTTTGTTCCAGTGCTTTCTTCATGCCTGACGTATAGGGTGTTTGTGACAAATCCGAACCCGGCTTTTCGCGCTGCAAAAGCAAACTAGACATCGCGGAGAGCTCAAACACCGTCAGAATGTACCCCAGCCGTACAAGCAAGATGCCAAGGTTTCAGTACCAACAGTTACCTTATTCAAAAGTTATAAGGGATTTTCTGAAATTTTCAATTGGAAAATGGGGCCCATTTTTTCCCGTTTTCGCTTTCTGGCGCCATAGAGCTCCATCGGCCGCCATTTTTCCATTGAAATTTTCGGACAATCGCTTAAAACTTTCGAGTAAGATAACGGTTGGTGGTGAAAATTTGGCATCTTGCTCAAACGGCTGGGGCTACATTTTGACGGAGTTGGAGCTCCCCGCAATGTCTAGTTTATTTTTGCAGTGCGAAAAGCCGGTTTCGGATTTCTCACAAACACTCGGCACTATATAGCATGTACCCAGAACACTTCCCACCGGAGTATATATTTTAATCATTTTTTTTATGCATCCTTCTTTTACCTTGAGGTTGAAATAATTCTGAAAATGCTATAAGGGACCATTTCTTGTGAATGCTGCATGATCTCACAAAACCTTCAGGTTATACATGAGTGTAAAGTGTTCTAGAGCAGTAAATGGTGCCAGTATGTTAGGCACCCTGGCACCATCTACAGTGTAGACCGCATGTCATGTATGTCGCAGGAGTCGCGAAAATCCGCACTATAAGCGGTACCATGTTATAACCAAAACATCAATTTTTCAGGCCAAAATACATGCCATGGGACAACTTACCTTTGTAAAAGAATTTATTTTATGTTAGATGAAAAATAAAGCTTAGTTTGAGGAAAGTCTTTATTTCACCAGACTAGTAGACTTGTCTCTCAAGTGTGTCACAGATTTTGAAAGAAATGAGCGACTTTTGCCTGGCGCAGCCTTTTAACGGCGTCACGGGTTGCGGACGGACGTTGCGAGCGTTCGGGATTGCTAACCCTAATCACTTTTCTCCGGTGATGAAAGCGCGTGAAAATTCGCATCCTTTATACGGTACGCGCCAGTAATACCTTCAACTTAAGCACAGGCATGAAATGCTCCAAACAAGAAATCCGGGCGATGTTCGAAAACACAAATGCTTAGAAAGCACCACTGTAGTTGAAGTAAACAAACACGACGACACGGGCGTTTCCGCCGTCTTGAGAGCGCCGCTACGACATCGCCGCACGAGTAGGTGGATCTTCCCTTCTAGTACGTCCTGGGTTATCATAGTGACACACAACGAAAATTCACAGTCAAGGATAACGCTTTTACGCGTAACGATGAGCTTCCACCACGCTGTCTACGTCGACGATCACAACTGACGCCATGTTTGCGGATAGAAGCAGCCGGCCCGCGACCGGCATACAACGCGCGCGACCAGTTCTCTTCGTCCTGTGATTGGTCTGTCATTGCGGTTGTTTCCAATGCAGTGGAGGTACGCACGCACGTGAACGACACGTGCGTGCGTCCCTCCGTCGCTGTGGCAACTGAAGCCCCTCTCTTCGCTTCTCCCAGCAACCTCCTTGCCCCGCGAGTGCCGTTTGCGGCTCGCGCTATTATCTAGTATTGCACAGGGAAGCATGCTCGCTGCACCGGTCAGTCGGCGCGGTCGCCGGGCTGTTGCAGAAACCGCACTATAACCGGTATTTCCCTTCGCGCGCCTGCATTTTAAGCGGTATGTAATTACATGGAGTTCTATGGGAGGCGAACCAGTGGTTAAAAAAAGCTGCATTATACCCGGTCCTGCACTATAAGCGGTTACGTTGTAAGTGGTCTATACTGTACAAACTTTTCTTCTTTTTCTTGTAACGCTCGCATAGCATTTTGGAACGCGTGGTACGAAGAGAAGAATGTGGCTGGCTGGATTCTCCCCGGCCGTGCCCGTTTCAGGAGAGACTGAAGCGTTCGGAGGAGCGCTGCGAGCGAGGGGAGGCGGAGACGGAGGCGCTGTCGCAGCAGAACGCCTTGCTCCAGAGCCGGCTGTCGGAGCTGGAACGGCGGCTCTCCGAGGAGAAGGCCCGGCAGAGCGCCCAGGATTCTCGCAAGGAGGAGCAGGCCTCCTGGGAGACGCGGGTGCGCGAGCTCGAGCAGACGCTGGCCAACTGGGAGCTGTCGAGCAGGTGGGTGCCCTCACTTCGGTTGCCCGGTTACCTATAGTCGCGACAGGCACAAAATTTCGTAGAAGCTCCGCCTTCGGCACACACTTGTTGCCTTTCGCCGTGTTTTGGCTTCGTGTTCGACGGAGTGTTATCAAAGGCAGAATGTCGTAGTTGGAGGCAGATCATCTCTTAACCTAACGACGGGTTGGAGCCGAGCAAGTTGGGTCATGCTTGTGGATAAAACCAGCTGAACTTACATAGAGAAAGCCAAAAAAACTGAGAGGAATATAAGATTTCTGGACTAACGAGAAGAAGAAGAATAGTTGTTTGTCCAGTGATTGCCTACCGTTTCTCTCAGTTTTCTTGCCTTTCTTTATGTATGTTCGGCTGGTTCTATCCACAAGTTCTTGACCTGTCGCCGACAGTAGCAGTACGCTGCCTAAATAGCGTCTTTGACCGGCGTGTTTAGCATTTTATGCAGCCCATGCACCAAAAGTGGTCCCGGAGTGGCGAAGGATTGTGTCGCGGGAGCGGGCGTGTCGTGCCGTCAGATGCCGTGATCCTGGCAGTTGGTTGTATAAGTTGTGGCAGAGCAGATGGGCGAGTGCAAGTGTCGGTGTCGTTGCAGCATTCCAACTCGTAGCTGCTGCAGCTTCCGTGGACTGAAGAGCAATCTAGAGCAAAACGGGCGTCTGCCACGCACACCTCCGCTGCTGTAATGTCGAGACCGGTTATAACAAAGTCTGTTATAACGAAATAGTGGATATAGGCTCCTTGCACTGACGTCACATCACATACTTTTGAACACCAAGTAAAAGGAAGAGAGGGAAGCTGCTTTTGTAGGAATTTTGAGTGACAGGTTAATCTTCTATAATCTTCTGGGACGAGAATAGCGACGCCTGTGCAGATCCGGGAGGCACAAAGGAGGATCCTGATAAAAGTAAAACTCCTTCTTTCCCTTTTCTCTGATGGTCATCGGAAATGACGTTATGTGCAAGTCACATATAGCGAAGTGATTTCCGATTCCCATTGACTTCGTTATAACCAGTCTCAACAGTACCACCAGCAGGATCGTGGCAGGCAACAAAATAACGCTCCTGTGACGTTATCAGGCGGAAGTCGAGAGAACAGAAATGAGGATATGGTAAATGCAGCAGTCGGAGACACGTCATAGGCATTGTTGCAAACACCATTTCCTTGTTAATGTTTTGAATCTCGGTACTTTAAGTGTCTGTAGCCATTGCCATGATGTAATATTTCTACAGAAGCTTGTCCAAAGTCATATTGATGTCCCTGATCTTTTGGGCATTAGGTACGTGTCCTGGCAAAGTTCACGCGACATTGCAACAAGTTTTAATGCCGACAAGCGAATTGAAGGATCACCAGTACGTCGAAATAAGATTTATTACAATAGCTTCGTTCAGCATGATTTTTTTTTATGCCTTATTTCACCTTTAAATGCTGGATGTGTTTGCTGGATATTACAAACACAAAATGTGTTTGTAATATGATTTATTATGGCTAAGACCAAGGGTGGCCAAGTTGCGGCTCTTCGCTTGTTAAAGTGTGGCTCGCAGCTCCCTTCACTACCCCCCCCCCCCCTTTCCCCCCGCCACCCTCCCTGTCACACGAGCACTTCCTAAAAAAAAAGAGAAAGGGAACAAGTTTTAAATCAAGACAGGTTGCAATATGGTAGTCTTGTGCTACTGCTACTTTACTTACAGATGGACTGCTTTTGACTCGGATAGATTGAAAGTAGTTCGAGTTTTGTTTATTGCTCTGGACAAATGTTTGCCCCACCCCCTCCTCCCCCAAACCGCAATTCTTGGAAGTTTCATTGTTTTGTTTGCGGCTTTTCGGCCGAATGAGCCTGGCCACCCCTGGCTTAGACTCTCAGTGTGCTACTTGTGTGTTTGTTTTTGCATATGGATATATTTTGCAGCAAAGCTGTTCAGGGCTAGGTTCCCCAAGATCCTGTCCGATACCAAACAAATGTCGACACAAAACTCTGGACAGCTACCGCCATCTATGAGCGATGGTGGCAATCAGACAACCGGCTTGGCGGCCTCACTCATAGGTGGCGGCAACTCATAGATGGCGACGTCTTGGCGTCGTCCTAGATGTCGTCCTCGAGGTCATTTTATAAGTCGTCCTTGAGGTTGTTCGAGATGTTGTCCTCGAGGTCGTCCTAGAAGTCATCCTTAAGGTCGTGCTAGAGGTAGTCCTAGAAGTCATCCTTGAGGTCGTCCTAGAGGTTCTAGACGTTGTTCCTGAGGTCGTCCTCGAAGTTGTCCTAGACGTCATCCTTGAGGTCGTCCTAGACGTCGTCCTCTAGGCGTCGTTCTTGAGGTCGTTCAAAAAATCGTGCTTGAGATTGTCCAAGAAGTCGTTCTTGAGGGCGTCCCACCATAGTACAGCTTCGCTGGTCTTCCTTCTTCACCAGAGTGGAAAGGCTGAGAGTTTTTTAATGCGAAAGCATTAACTGATCCATGGAGCAAGCTGACAGCACCAGTTTGAAGCACGAAAATGGCACCTAGTTTCCCCGACCCCAAAGGAGCAAAGTAAAGCTGATGGATTTTGCCTTCGGTTCCATTGGCTGGGGCACGTCGACGAGGCTCCCATTGGCTGCTGCGCTCGTCAGTTGCCACGATCGCTCACCCCATGGCACTGCGTGTCCATCAGCGCACCGTTAACACGGAGCACCCAAGGTCAGCATGCCCAGGCGAGCTTGCACGCTGACCGGCGACACAAAGTATGCAGCAGACGAAAAAGGGAGCGGACGAACGGCTTGCATGCTTTCACATTCACAACTCATAAGAAGTGCTTAGGTGTACCTCGAGCTTTTCTTTTCTTGAACTGACTTTTGCTGTCCCGCAATGTCAAAGCCGTTATGGTGTTTTTGGGCACGCAGTAAACATCAACATCAGTTTACAGTAGGCTCGCAATATTTCAAACTTGGATATTTCATAATTTTTCGTCAGTTCGAAATTTCAAAATTTTCGTTTTCCCGTTGTTTCGCGGCCCTGTTTAGCGCGCTTCTTTCCGAGCACCAGTGCAGTGCGGAGAAGTAACACCCAGAGCCGTATATTGGGAGAGTTTGGCCAGTGGGTGTGGCGACGAAGGCGCCGGAGAGGAGAAAAGTAAATGAAAGGGAGGAGAGCGCCGAAGGAGCGAGAGAGAAAGAAGGGAGCAAAGAGGAGACGACCGCCATTTTTGAGCAACGCTGTCGGAGAAGAGCACTGCTGAGACTACGCGTCGTCTGCTACGGGCCGACTTCTTTTTCGCCTGAATCAAAGTTTGTGGCCATACGCCAAAAAATCTTCATTTATTAGCTTTTTAACCCACCGAGGAATAACAGAATATCATTTTCTTGCCAGAGCCAGCGATGTAAAAGGTAATAATCGAGATTTAGATGCCGATTCCACGCATTCCGCCGGGAGAATGATTGAAGATGGCAGCCCTCCCCACTCAGGTGGGAGCAGCCGGGAGTTCACGCGCATGCGCTCATGCCTGTCGCTCTACGCCGCGTGCTGATTGGCTCACTTAGGAGGAGAGCGTTACGGCGGCGAGATCATAGACTGACCAAACTCTCCCCATATACGGCTCTAGTAACACCCACGGACTTCGCTTCCGTGGGTGCTGCTTCTCCACAGTGCACCGGTGCTCGGCAAGAAGCCCTCTCAACGGGGCTCATAGTCCTCAATAGACAACTTTTTTTGTTGAATGAACAAACTTAGTTTTGTTTTGATGTGTCACGTGCTGTCCAAACAGTTCATGATAGACAACATTTTTTACGGATGCTTAAGCTTGGCTCATACATTTCACTAATGTTTCATGCGTGGCATATACCTGCTTATTATTAGTAGGCCTGTACTTCGGAGCCAGTCTCGATGCATGGGTGGAGTAGGATGCTAGGCACACCCGTCGGAGGCGCGTTCCAGGCATCGTACTAGTGGCAACGTGCTGGCTTCTGGGCCAATTTCGGTCCAACGTTTGAACCGCAGGGAGCAGGAGCGCATGTACAAGTCCAACATCCGACTGCTGACGCGCAAGCTCAGGGAGAAGATGAAGGAGCTGAAGCTGATGCAGCTGCAGCAGTCGCAGCACCGCGTCGACGGAGCGGAGGAAGACGGCAACGAGCCAAGCACAGTGGCGGCGGAGACGCCCGCATCCCCTGACGGCACAGCCGTCGCTGAGGAAGCCGTTGGGCGGGCTTCGGCCGAAGTCGCCTCGGTCGAACGGGGCGCGGAAAACGGAGACGCCCAAGAGGAGAGGCAGCACCTTCTTTTGCAGCTCGAAAAGGAGCAGGGAAAGCTGGCTGGTGAGGGTCGAATTGAGACGTCAGGACGAAGTCGCGGCTCTTGTGCCAGATCTGGGAGGGAGCCTCTGAAGGCCCGTTCACGCACTTGCGTCTGCTTAGGGCCGAGTTCTTGCGATCTCTTACGACGAGAGAACACACTGACACGCGGTGCCATCTGTGAGGTGGCTCTGGAACTGCTTTTCACGAGAGGTATGTCTTGGCGGTATTTGTGAGATCAAACGTACGTCTAAGGGAAATGGTCGTTTATAACATTGTCGGAAGTTTTTCGAGCCAAAAGAGAAACGTGCGTCAAAAATAGGAAATATGCGGAAATGCTAAGCGTTCCACTCGATAGGTGGTGCCAGTGTGTCCTCCGGTTGTAAGAGGTTTTAAGGGACACGGTCCCAAGCGGTCGCATGTGTGAACCAGGCTTTAGACTACCTGTGGCTCTGCAGTCTTCTTACGGTGTCCTAGGTTATCTGCACATCGGCGTAGTTTGCTTTTAGAGCGCAGCCATTAAGCGGCTGTTTCCGGCTTGAGCAGTGTCGGCGTCGCCGTCGGCGTAATTGCGCGCGCGGCGCATGATGGGTAATTTTCCCCGCTAAATCTAGCGGAAAATGTTCCCCACTAAATCTAGTGGAAAGTTTTCCCCATTAAATTTAGCGGAAAAATTTCCCCGCTAGATTTAGTGGGAAATTTTCCCCGCTAAATCTAGCGGAAAATTCCCGCCGCTAAATCTAGCGGAAATTTTCTCCGCTATATTTAGCGGGGAAAGTTTATTTATTTTATTATTTATTTATTGATACTGCAACCCCTGAAAGGGATTTTAGCAGGTGGGTATACACTTGATTGACAAGACATGCAGGCATACAAAATAGCAAACAAGTCGCAGAAACAAACGAACAAATATTTTTCAGAGGGACAAAACTAATTTAGAAGGGATTCAAATAAAGATAATGATGGCTGCATAACGACACTTTCAGAAAGGCTATTCCAATCAGTTACCCATCAGTTATCAGTTAAGTTCTCCGCTAGATTTAGCAGAAAAAGTTTCCCTCTACAGTGAGCGGAAACTTTTCCCCACTACATTTAGCGGAAAATTTTTCCCGCAAAATTTAGCGGGAAATTCTTACCGCTAAATTTAGTGGACAATTTTCACCGCAAAATTTAGCGGAAAAAGTTTCCCGCTAAATTTAGCGGGAAACTTTCCCCTCTAAATTTTGCGGAAAATTTTCACCGCTAAATTTAGAGGAAAATTTTTTTCTAAATGGGAGGCGAGCAGGAAAAGAGTAGGGGCATAGCCCCCTCTCTGTACCTTCCCCCCCTCTTCCTCAAGAGCTGCGCTCTAATTCGGTGTTACAGGGAGTTGTAAACGGCTCATCTTTTTTTGTGAAGTCGATGCGATGCAAACATCTCAGTGTGCGCGGGAGATTGTCTAGGCTAGCCTCTCGGTCTCCCGTGAGACAGACGGCCTGCACGCGCATGCGCACTCCACGACGCCGTTAGTGCAAACAAGTTGTCGTCGGATTTTTCTGTTTTTTCCCTCGGTATCGAAGGGCTGTCATCAAAACTTATATAAGTGCCGGAAGGTCCTCAGTTAGGGTGCTAACCTGAGTGGTGAATTTTGATGCCTGCCTGTACCGTTTCGGCGTAAAATGCAAGAAATGTCGGAGTCGCGTCTGCGCTGGCTGTGTCACCCGGTGTGCGAGGTGTCGTCGTGTCATGTTCATGTTGCACGGGGCTGGCGCCTTGTTTTGATCTCTTGCTTTTTTTTTCGATTAGTCAAATCTTCAACAATATTGTGAAGCATTCTGTTTCATCGTCACGGACAAACTGTAGAGTGACCTAGTCGTAAATCATACTAGGCCTCCACACAGTGGACACCTTCTTCGTAGCGGCGAAGAAGTCCGACTGTGGACTTTATCTGGAGGTTAAATTTTTGAGCTGTGCTCTTTTCTCCTCCACAGTAGTAGATTTCGGGTAAAGGTACGTTTGTATCGCTCTGACATGGACCGACCGACGCTCCTTAGGATCCTTGCGAGCGCAAGAGGAGCTCCGCAACTGTGTGGAGCAGTTGGAACGGCAGTTGGCGGAGCAGGTGGCGGCCTCCACGGAGCTGCAGTGTCGGCTGGAAGAGCTCCAGGAGCAGACAGCGCGGAGCGAGGCCCGCCACTCGTCCGAGTCCTCAGACGTCCGCCGCGAGTTGGCCAAGGAGCAGGCCCTGAGCAAAGACCTGCGCCAGAAGGTGGGCGAGCCACCGTTGGGACCGGTGCATTGCGCGTCCTGTTCCACCTGCGCGTCGAAGGTGGTCTTAAAGTGGCAACAAACGGCGTCGCAAAAGCCAGAGCGTCGTGCTCTTGGATGTTTTCATCCTGGCGGTTGGGCTTAGCAGTTCTGGTGAAAATGATGAGTGTACACAAGTGTCGCCGATACCACGGTGTCCCAACTCCTCGCTGCCGTTTGGTTCCAGACACCGTGGCTGTAGCTTACACTGGGGCTGCATTTAAAAAATTTGCTCAATCTCGCTCTAGGCTTACCTTGGCATTTGAATAGTACATACCCGCATCTAGCATCGCTCTCTCTGATTCGTCACGTGACATGACCCGTTGCAGTAGCCGGGATATATTTGAGTGACATTTGGAACGTGGCACTTTCCTCAAGGAGGTCAGCTCTAGTCAAAGGGACACTGAAGTCGTATAAAACATTTCTAAATGCCTGGATACAACATGTAAGTCGCAGAATAAACTTTCTCCAAAAAGAATGCAACAATTTGCACGTAATGTTAGAGTCCCAGGTGAAAGTCAGTCCACCTGCAGCTGGATTATGGAGCTGGTCCCAGCTGAATCCAGCTGGAAATGAGACGGTCCGGCTGGATCCAGCTGATTGAGAAATATGCTCCTATTTCGGGGTCGACATCTCTGAATACAAGCACATTTTGGAATCGCTCCTAACTCAAGATGTGTCTCAACACATTATGTATTGCACTATACATTTTTTTTTTAAAGCTTACTTTGGAGAGCGATTTTGAAATGTCCTATTTAGGCATGTCCTATTAGAATACCCTATTTAGACACTTCAGTAAACTTTTTGGGGGAGGGGGGACTTCATTGTTTCTTTGATTGGAGTTGACCTCACTGAGGAAAGTTTAGGCTGGGGTCAGGTGAAAATCAAATCAGGTTAGGTCAGGCCAGGTTAGGCTACGTTTTGTTAGGTTAGGTTAGGTTAGATTAGATTAGATTAGGCTAGGCTATACCAGGGGTGGTCAGGCTGGCCTGGCCTAAGAGTCGCAAACAAAACCACGGAACTTCTAAGAGCCACGGGGGAGGGGGGGGAGCAAACTTAACTTTTGTTCAGACTTTTGTGCGACTCGCGGATCCCTTACAAGGGATCCGCAAGCTGCACTTGGACCAGCGAAGACCCGCATGCGGCTCGCGAGCCGCAGTTTGGCTACCCCTGGGCTATACTATACTGTGTTATGCTGCAATTGGTTGTGGCGTGTCACTTGGCACAGATCTTCGAGGAGAAGCGTCTGAGCGGACAGCTGCGGCGCCAACTGTCGACGCTCAAGGAGGGCCTGACCTCGGCGAGCCAGTCCGCGGACGCCCGCCGCACGGAGTGCCAGGCCCTGCTGGAGCGCAACCAGGCCCTGGAGCAGGAACTGTCGGAGACTCAGGGGCGGCTGGAAGGGCTCCGCGGGGACCTGAAGGCGGCCCAGGGGGCCCGACAGGAGCTGGAGGCCCGTCTGAGGGGCTCCCAGGAGAGGGACCCTGCCCTCGAGCAGCAGATGAAGGTGGGGAGCGTTGAAGTGGCCTCGTTTGCCGCTCCTTGGCTCACCGAAAGAGCCTGCAACGGAGCGAGACGGTCTCGCTATGGTCCCTGTTGAGTCGCACTTTGGAACAGCAGCAATTCTTGTATCTTCATACGTGAACCTTCTGAGACAGTGATTTCCTAAAATGGTCCATTGTGTCGTGTGTATGTTTGTGCACCGAAAAATTAGTCAGCCCCAGTGGGCATCTGGCATCTCTGCTCTAGATGACAAATGTAACCAGTTTAGCACCAAGGCTCAAGGTTAGTACGATTTTGTTCCAGATCGAGAAGGGTGGGGATTAAACCCAGCATCCCTGAGTTCCGCACCCCGAGCTTTGGCTCCATGCACTCTGCAGTCCATAAACACACTCGGTTACCAGCCCCCGCATCAAAGCGGCGTGCATGAACGAATGTCACGCGACGCAAATGAATGAGCGACAGTCTTGTCAACGTCGTCGGACAGTGTACCATTTTAGTGTGGTACTCGGAGCGTAGCTCTCGGGTTATTCTAGTGTTACGATTCCCAGAATGCGTCTCTGAACGGTGTGGTTAGCGTCCCGTTCCGCCCATGCATCGAAAGTGGTCCCAAAGTGGCAACAAGTGACGTCGAAGAAGCCGGATTGTCACGGTGTCAGATGTCGCGGTCCTGGAGGTTGGTCATAGAAATGCTAACGAGAAGCTGCGAGTAGCACAACCGAACGCGAGTGTCGCTGTCGTCACGGCATTCCAACTTTCAGCTGCCGAAGCTTCCGTGGACTGCCACACCGGTAAGCAACCTGCAGCAGAACAAATGTCTTCCACACCCACCATCGCTGCTGCGATAACACAAAGATTGCTGCTGGCGGCAGCATGAAACTTTTACGATGTCTTCAGGCAGAAGTTGAGGGACCACTTTTTTTGGACGCAATAAACGCGCCGGTCGTAGACTCGTTCCAGACGCCATACTGGTGCAAACCTCTGGATGGCCATAGTTGCCAACTCTAAGGTGCTTCTTTCTGCAGCTCCTGAGTTGGAACGTGAAGGAGAAGTCCCAGGAGGTGGCTGCCCTGAAAGAGCACGCCCGTCTGGCCGAAGCCACCCACCAAACAGAGCTGGGGGGCCTGCGCAAGCAGCTGGAGGTACGGACGGCCGTGCCAAGGGGCACTTCAACACCTCCTCTGCTCTGGAGTCGTTCTATGGCTTCTTGAGTGCCGCTAGCCCAACGTTCCTGTCTTTTGAGGAACTTCAACAGTAATCTGCGTAATTTACTTGCACCCTAAAAGGCGCATTCGGGGCCTTCTGTCGAGGTGAAGCGGGGGGTGCGGTTTGTGTGAAATACAACTTGAAAAACATAAAATCATAGTGGATGAACTTAATACTGTAGTAGGAACTAGAGCTGCCCTCAAAGCAAAAAGGTTGCCACTAGAGAAAAAGGGTGGTCGTTCAAGCTGCTTGGGCAGCTTTTTATCCTCGGCTTCCACCATACTTGCATGTTAAATAAAACCATTATTATTATTATTATAAAAGATAATAGCTTGTTCCGTTCAGTAATGACCTAGTAGACAATATTATCCTTAGCTGTCATCATTCTACTTGTAGCGCTTTTTGCTCTTAATAGCTACACTTTTTTATGGAAAGAGACAAGGTTGTTTTGAGTTTCTAGCCTTGTGAGCGGGTAGTTTACGAAGAGTAACGTCACATAAACTAAGACAGGTTTTGCCCGTTCATCGTGTGACTGATTGATTCAAAACAGTCAATCTTTTTTGGACTGCTCGAAAGCTGGTCTGAACCCAGCTGAAATACTAAACGAAACCTGTTGCGTGGCTACTACTACTATAACATTGAAAATTCTTGGAATGGTGTTGCACAGGCACTGCATGGTGTTCCCGTGCATGTTGCAATGCGGTTAGGTGTGCAGGTTTAAAAGTCAAACTTGCAGAAAGGAAGCGGCATGATTTACAATTTCTCGTTGCTGAAGAGGGCTAAATTTGTGTTTGAAGGATGGAATCTTTTTCAGGTTTGCCTAACTTTGAATCGCATTTGGAAGCGATTATTTCCAACCCTTGTCTGTCTCAAGGGGTACAAGGGTGTTTTCGAAGAAGGGGGGGCCCGCTAACCTCGGTGGTGGTGGCGGGACATCTCGTCCGCAGGGTTCCCAGCACCAGTTGGCGGGCCTGTCGTCCGAGCTGATGGCAGTCCGCAAGGACAAGTTTACCCTGCAGGCCAAGGTCCAGGAGCTTAAGAACGTCCTGCGCTCCAGGGTCGACCAGTGCAAGGTACGGGCCGCTTTGATGTGTCGCACGGATACCGAAGGCCGACGCACGGGCGCTCGAACTAGGCTCCTAAGAATTGAGGGTTTCCTTAAACTCTCAAACTCCCTTGGAAGGCTGGGTAGTCTGCAAACCGAGTTTGTAGGTAAAACCACTTTCCAAACCTGCAAATATCTTTTCCCACCACTGTCAACGTGTTGTTTTCCAAGATCTTGAAGGGAAGCGGTGAAGTTTGACGCTTGAGTCACCTTCGCGTGTATGTGGCACTCTTTCACGCAGCAGTAGCGACGTTTATTTTTGGGGGTAACTCTAGGAGTAGGCGAGATGTCACTAACTCGGTGAGGTCATAGAGACGTGAAGCTGGGACTTACTTTTACGAAAAAAGGTTCCCAAAAAGGCTCACGCCGATCCGAAAGGCCACATTCACACATAGTTTCTAAACGCGCCTGCCCGCAGTCCCCGCGACCCGGGTCGTCCTGGCCTACCCAGTGTTTTATTTTTCACCCACTAGATGGCGCAGCGTGTAGTGCCAAACTGCATTGTTGGTTGCCTATGAAAGATTCAGCTTTGTGTTAAGCACAGAAAAAAAGAATGTGCCGTCTTGGAATAGGAGCAACCTGCAAAACAGATTGTTTTTGCTTTTCTTATAGTAGGGGGATGCTTCCTGAGCAGTTGTACATGCATGTATTGTGGTTTCCAAAAATGGCTTGCGCATTCCAGGAACTCCAGAAGCAGCTGATGGAAGTGGCAGAAACGACAGAATTTGTTCTGCCCATTCCACCTGCGGATTACGACGACTCCTACATTGCAGACTTGCTGCAACAGTGCTCGGCACTTCCTACCAGCAGGTGCGCTCAAGCATGTTCCTTCTACACTTTCTGGCTTTATAGTTTAGAAGGTCCAGCCTGGTCGACCTTCTAATGGGAGGACTGCTACACTTGTAACCCTGTCTTTTTTTAATCATTTTCAGATTTTAATGTAATAGGAAAACTGTTATTCCTGTAACCTGCAGTCAGTAAAGTTTTGTGTCCAAGTTTCAGATGCTTATACATGTCATGCAGAAACTCTAGATAATGTTGATTGTCAACTTGCAGCATTGGAAACTGTTTTAAGTAGCACTTTGAGTGTGTTTTGGGTACTGGTACGTGACTCTAGAGGTACCTATATATTCAAAGTTCATTTTTTAAATTGAATCTGTTCATTGGTTGAAACCACCGACGAATCCGCTTGAGTGACTTATCGCAAGCTTCTATTTCTGAAACCAAAACATTTTATTTTTATTAAGTAATGCAGTCAATTTTTATTTCATTAAAAAGACCGCATCTCCACGTGGTGAATAGGTAGTGCTGATGGTGCTGATTTTTTTTTATTGCTCATACGTAGTGCTGAGTTCCGGGTTGCGTTTCGACTTCATTATTACTGCTTTATGGTCGGTGAAATGCAGAGCCAGTGTTTCTTCAAGCTGTGGGAACGCACCACCACCGCTTAAGTCAACGGTCCATGTCAGAAAGAGAATGTGTGGTATGGATCGTGGTTATGTACGCAGTTGAGCATTTGACCGCAGCGCCCTCTCGTCTATACACGTTGAGCCTATGCATGCAAAGTTTAATGCGATTATATACGCATTTGACCGCAGCGCCCTCTCCTGTATAGACGTTGAGCGGCCACATGCAACGTTTCATTCATGACATCCCCAGCTCTTGAGTTACTACCACATCTCCGAGCCTCCTACTCATCCCGCAGTCGTAGCCGAGTGGTTAAGGTGTTGGACTAGAAATCCATTGGGGTCTCCCCGCACAGGTTCAAATCCTGTCGACCGCGCAAACATTTTTTCTTTTTTTAAGAAGACAGAGGGGATGGCAGGTGATGTGAGCACGGACGCCGGACGAACAAGGCTAGACCCTAAGGAGCTTCGCCCCTAAAATATGATTAGCAGAAATGGAACGAAACCAGGAATGTTTGCATTGTTGAAGTACTTGTACCTTGAAAGTATGCTCCGTCCGAAATAGTTTGCCTGTCGCACATTTCACAGTCACTGGACTTTTGCTTTAGTGCATACTTGAAGTACCAAGTTTACCAGGTATACTTTGTGCTGTGCCTTCATCTACCTTTACATGTATTCCTTCTTTTTTTTTTCACTTCTTTAAAAATATTTGACAATGTTGTTAGTGACCATTTCTCACAGGTAGTACTGTCGAGACCGGTTATAACGAAGTCGGTAATAGCGAAATAGCGGCTACAGCGAAGCGATCACGATTTCCCATTCCCTTTTGCACTTCTTTACCGAAGTAGGTTATAACGAAAAAGCAGATATATTGAAGTGATTTCGGATTCACATTGACTTCGTTATAACCGGTCTCAACAGTATGTACTTTCGATTGCACAAGTACAGCAAAACCTTTGCTCTAGTAGTATGCAGTTCCAGGGTCACCTCATAGATGGCGTCAGCATGCCAGCGTGTTCTCCCGTCGTAAGGGATTGTAGGAACTCGGTCCTAAGCATACGCAAGTGTGTGAACAGGTCGCTGTCAGTGAGAGTAACACTTTCAGTCTGCAAAGGAATTGTTGCGCATTCTGAAAGTGTGCCCTCCTTCTGTTGCACAGGCCACTGGGCACGCTCCAGGTATGCCTGGACTCACTCAAACAGGAGCTCAGCACTCTGCACAGCCAGATCAAGCAAAACGTGGAACTGCCCAAGACAGGTACAACTACCGACTGTTTGGAATCTCGCTTTGCTCGCGGCAGTCTAGGTCTGTTCTCGAGTGGCCTAGAAATTGCCGTGGCAGCAGCCCTTCTAGCTTCCAACAGTTGTACTGCTCAAAAAATCTTTTTAGTTTCCCAAGTTTTATATCATCAAAATTTAAGTAGTGTTTAAACATACTGGCCCCATTTTTATACAGTCAAGTCTTGTTAACTCAAACTTGTGGATAATTCAAACTAACATGCAGGTCCCATCCTATGCGTCTCTAGGAGAGGAAAGTCCCGGTAATTCAAACTTTTCTTCATTCAAACAAATTTTCGGTCCCCCTCGAGTTTGAATAAATTAGATTCGACTGTATTGAGGTAAGAAAGACAGGTTGGATGTTTTCCACTTGTTTTGGGATTTGGGCTTTTGTGTGTTGTTTTTCATGGCTATACAATGAAGCAGAAAATTCTGACTTTGGAATCAAAAAGTTGTCATCTTGGTCATTAGATAACATAATATCCATTCTCTCATCACCGAAATTGACAAGAAAAAGCGAAATGGGCAACGCTCCAATGTCTAACCTTACAAAAATTTGTAACAAGCAAAAAGATATAATGTTTTCTGCATGTATCTTGTGCAGTTGAGCAGGAGGCATGCTGAACAGACAGCTAGTAATTTTCCTCCGTGAAGCACGGGTGAAACGAGGTTTGCTTACCGTGCAAGCTAAACCTCGTCCATCGTATGGACACACGTGACACACCTGGGGTGATCGGTGTGCACATTTCTTTTTAGAGGGGGGGGGGGGGGGGGTGTTTTATCAGTCACAGGTGGTTACAAGATGTTTCCTGGCACCGGGTGTCAGCCAACGGAAGTTTCTTTTATTTCCCTCCCCTCTACAGAACTCGTCAATTGAAGCGCGCATCCTTCATCCTCGTAACCAAGACATCCGGGTGGCCTAGCCGCAGTCTTCCACGCCAGAACATGCCAAAGAATTCAAACCGCCTTCGGAGTTGACACCGGTTTCCAACACAGCGATGCCGGCGACAGGTCTGCGGGTTGTTTCCCCGAAGATTATTGTATCCCCCTTTTTCTACGACAAGTGTTTGGTGAAAGGCGTGTATAAACTCTGTCTCAGTGCAACTTGTGCGAACAGCGGTGTTGAAGCTTTGTCTCGGTGCTGAGCCCACTGGCACTGTTGTGGGGGCCAAAGAAATGCCATTGGGGGCGAGCGTTTTGTTGCCGTTGGAGCGTTGTCGTCCCTTTGCAAGGTGGGGTTGTTGAAGTAGTGTCGGAACTAGTGGGCTTTGTTCTTCAGAAACTGGGGTAGCCAAAACTAAAGGTCCTACTGCAGTCAAGTTGGATGCTTTATGCAGCAGGAGATTCTTGACCAGGTCCTCCGTCGTAAAAGAGCCTTCCGAGTGGGGAATTTGCTAAGGAAGTTAGTGAGAGACTGCATCTTAGAGGACCACTACTGGATTTGAGAAAATGTCAGTTTTCTTGTACAGTAAATTAGGAAAGGTTTGCAGGTCTGTGCAGACATACAAAAAAGTGCACTTCTTTTTGCCGTACCGGTGTGCACTCTCATCTCAAGCAGCACGCTTTACCAGCAGAAGCGATAAAGCCAAAGCGAGTTGCACTGCCACTCTGCTTGAAACGGTGGTTGTGGTTTGAGTGTTACATTGAATGTAGGAGACATGCCTGGGGAGGATTTTTGGAAAAGTTAGTCTAAAATCATGCAAATGGTGAGTTTGCTCAAGTCAGTTGTTTCACTGCGGTTGTTGAGGAATGACTTGCATACCTGAACCCCAGCTGCACCTGGCTTTGAAAGTATGCTGGGGCCAAAGGATACATATCAGTTAGCTTTCAGATACATAGAAATGTTGGTTGTTTCCTTACTCGTTTCAATCAGGTATGCAATGAGACAACGTTAGCGCGAACGCCCGACTGCCGATTTCTCACATTTTGCCTACTACTAAAAAAACGGTTGATGTTTTGTCATTCCTGTACACACGATAGCCAAGCGTCATAAATAATCTTTGCTTTTAGGTCAGCATTAACTTACTATCTTGGTCAAATGCCTGAGAGCCCTAACCTTATACTACTATATTTGTATTTGGAGTGATAAGTTGCAAACGGGAAGTTGTTTACTTTCTACCTGATTGTTACTTCTGCATAAAACTTTAGTCAGTGTTGGATAATTTTTTTCCTTTTTCGAAAAACAGATAATTAGGATTTTAAGTTCCGCATGAATCGAAGTTTACTCTCGTGAAGGAATCCATTGAGGCTCCCTCACTATGACACTTATGGTAGTCTTTTTAGCCGTGCTAGGTGAATGGAGTTCTTCTGACATATGACATATGGTACACCAGTGCTTCTAGGTATATAAAATGGAAAGTGTCTCGTGCTGTAGTCATATTATGCTGGCCCTTGATTGTTTGCTAACATTTCTTGAAAGCAGTTGAGTCACATCACCGTTTTCAGGAGCAGTGTCTATTACTTTTTGCATCTCGATTTTCCGGTGGTGTTTTACTGTGGGACGTTTCACTGGAGTATCTAGTTCCTCGATAAGGTAGTGGAGTTGCTAGGAAAGGGTGAGCAGGTAGACCGTAGACGGAGCTGTAGCAATGCCTAGACAACACACTGTGTGGGCGTACAACGCCATTGAACCCTGTGATTTACGAATGCCGCCGTGCATAGAAGAGCGGCGTGCGAGGGAAGCTTTCGACTGCAAAGTGCCTTGGCTGGAACATTTAGGTGAATCCGTGTTGGGATTTATGTGCAAAGTGAGTGGCCATATTGAGAGGCAGGCCCACCGACTTCTACTTATGTCTTCTGGACCTCAAGTGCCGTGCACTGTTGCCGAGATGAAGCTGCGTTATCTTTGCGTTACCAGCACCAAAGTGCGGCTTGTTACGCCGTGCAGTCGTGATGCCATCTGGGGACCATTGGGGCAAGCCATACGTTGCAGTGTGCAGTTAGTACAGTCATGAGATGTATGAGAGGGAACAGCCAGTTGATCTGATCCAAACTGGGACTGGAACTCGGAAGTTTAGCTTCCAGCCTCTTCACTCTGAGAAATTGAGAGATCGTAGGGATTGTGGACACTGCAGTCATAGCAAAAGGGAATTGGAGTGTTGTCAGTCGTATTGTTCACTATTGTATAGACTGGTACTGGTAACATGGCGACTTCAGTGGCTTCCTCCTGTCCCCTCTGAACCCTCCTCCCAGAGGACGATGTAGAGATTGGTGGGCAAACCTTTCCGTCTGCGTGCATGGCCGTATTGAATCTCTGTGACTCTGTGTCGCGCTCTTACTGCGGTGGCCAAATGGGTTTGCTTTTCAGAGTGCAATATTCGTCTCTTCCTGCATAGATGTTTAGGTGTGTCGTGCGGTTTCTTCGCTAGTTCTTTTGGGACCATCTTGGAAGTTGGGTTTGAGCTTCTTGTGTCCTCTTGATGATTAAAACTTGTTTGTTTTTCTCGGTGCATGCACTTGTGTACCTCGTTTCACGACTGCTTGAGCATTGCTCTTTCTGGAGCAATAGCCCCTTTCCGCAATTCAGTCTGGCCACTTTGATCACTATCATCATCTGAAAAATGGTGTACGTATTTACTCGCAGAATGAACGCACTTTTTTTTTCGAAAAATCGATGCAAAGTTCAGGGGGGCGTTCATTACGCGAAGTAAAATTTTTGCGTCCGTATTTACTGTATTTACTCGCATAATGAACGAACTTTTTATCCTGAAAAATCGAAGCAACTTCTTATCTCTTTGCGCGCGGCGCCCGAGCCCGTAACCAAGCTAAGCTGTGCAAAAAAAAAAAAAAAAAAACTTTTCTTTTTTGTTAATTTTTTGGTCTTTTTTTTACCGCCTTTCGCAAGCTGTTTTGTTTGCTTAGGCGAGGGCTCTCCGCTTATCTTTCTTATCTCCTTGCGCGTGACGCACGACCCCCGTAACCGAACTGCGCTGTGCAAAAAAAAAAAAAAAAAAGCTCCTCTCCATTTTTTTTCCTTGCTTCCGTTGGATCTTTGCGAATTTTTTGAACGCCTTTTGCAAGGCATTTTGTTCGCCCACGCTGTCCATGCATTCGCGACCTCGCTGCACCAAAACAGAAAAGTGCGTTCATTTCGCGCGCGTGGGGGGAGGGGGTCAGAATTTTGACATTCGAGTTGGGGGTGCGTTTATTGCGCGAGTGAAAAAAAAAATCGAAATTTTGAGAGCCGACTTGGGGGTGCGTTCATTACGCGAGTGCGTTCATTGTGTGAGTAAGTACGGTATGTGCTATACTAATGGCGGCCTTCTGTTTACTGATGAAGGAAGATGTTGAAGATGCTCCTAAGCAGATGATTCGAGGCCTATGCATTCTAGACGTTAGCGTGACGTGAAGCAGGAAATGGATGCAAGAGCTGCGTAAGCGTTCATTTCTAACTCGGGTCCAGTCAATCTGTTAGTAGCATACACTCGGCTTCAAAGCGCGTCTATGTGGGTTGGCGCTTCGTTCTGACTGGTTGCATCTTTTTCGCCATCGACACTGAAAGAGATTGAGAAAGAGCTTTACAGTGAAGCGCACATTCTCGTTCACCGTTGACTTGCGAAAGTGACTGTGCCCCGTAAAATACTGCAGACCAGAGGTTCATTGTGGCCGTTAGTATGGTAAAAGTTAAACTGCCATTTCAGTCACTAGATGGCACTAAATTCCGGAAAGGGTCTATTGTGTGGCATCCAGTGGGTCTACCACCTTGTCTCGCCCGTGAACTTAATTGATTGTGCATGCACAATACATAAAAGAGCAGCTCATAAAGTCTAGGAGCAGTAACAGTACTGGCCTGACAGGGTTGATAAGCGGAAATTTCGGTCGCCCCCTCCGACATTGCAGCTAAATTGGTAAGGTCTCGTTGTTGAAACATGCTTTCAATAAGGCGGATTTAGATTTGTGCTGTTCTTGTCTACTTCGGATCAAACCATTCTCGTTGTTTGAGCATCCTGAACATAATTTTATTCAGTTTGTCCCAGAAGAGGCAAGACCAGTAGGCAGTATTCGGTGCATTTACATTATATACTGGTTATTTGGGAGACCAGTATCCATTTAGTAAACAGGATAACTGGGCGAGTTGGTATGGATTCATAATGGAACAGCGCGAATTTTTGCAAGGACGGAGGAAGGAACTGGACAGGACGAGCGCTATCCAATATCCAATTAAAGGGGCATTAAACCACTTTCTGCAATAGTCTGTTCATGGTCATAACTCAATCTATGTGCTCTAACCACCTTAAAGAACCCAACATTACATTAACGCATGGCCAATTTCTCTATTAAGATGGGTACCAAAAGATAGACACCAGGTGGCACCATCGGACGAGAAGGGCAGAGCCCTGCCCTTCCTCATGCGACGGTGCTTTATAGTGTCGGCGATAGTCCCAAGGTAATCCATTGGGGGGGATCGATGGCCGAATCCCTTGCTTGTTTCCTGGGTTCGATCCCTACCCCCGCCCGCTTCGGTCTGGATGAGTTTTGTACTGGCACGCGTTTGTGTAATCACTACTGTGTGATGCAAGTGAAAAACCCCAGGTTAGCGGTTGTACTGCACTGGCTAAATTTTTCATCTACAGCTAAGAGACAAGTCACCCGTTGAAGCCTACTAACATTAAGGCTGTCTAAACATCCAAGCAACACAATATATTTTAGGCAGTCCATCTTTTGATACCGATTTTATTAAAGAAATCGGCCATGCATGAATGTAATGTTTTTTTGTTTTTTTAGGACGCTTATAGTTTATTGATTGAGTTATGCATAAATACACTATCGCAGACACTTTAATGCCCTTTAACATGTCAACCCCCCTCCCCACCCTCTCCAAATGACCTGAGGGGACGGTATTATTTAAAATGTTTCACAGAAAAAAAAAAAAAGAAAGTCGTTTACAATTCTGTGTAATAGACCTGTTGCAAAACGTGCAGCGCCACGACGGCAGAGAATTTTGGGAACCCCCGGTACAGATCACTCGCTTTCTCTTTGCGCCTCCGCGACTGCGCGCGTGTCCCCGCAGCTACCGCCAGCAGCCGTTGCAGTCATCTGCCATCCCGCCCATCCGCCGAGTCGTACGCCGTTGGCGGCGTACCGTGTCTTTGGCAGCGTAAAGGCATCGCAACAGGTGAACTTATTTGAATACGTTATTCGTCGTAACTTACCTTTACCTATTGAAGTGTCACCGAATCTATTTAGTTTGCACCGCAACCGCCGCAGGTTTCGACCAGGTTCGATAAAGCGTTGGTGCAGCAGACGACAGAGCCGGTACAAAGGAGAGGGATGAGAAAAGGGCAGCCGTTGGCTGGTCGCTCGCCCGACTCGGCTGCTCAGAGTTGTTGCCGTGGTAACATGCGCCTGCTCGCGTAAGCTACGTGGTTACGTGGTGGTAGCGGGAGGAGGGGCGTACCAAGGACTCCCATTATTCGTAGCGCAGCGCGCGCGGGCTTTTGGGATTTTTGCAAATGGTCTATTTCGAATTAGAGCGCACCTCGAGGAAGAGGAGGGGAGGGTATGCCCTTCCGTACCCTCCCCTCCTCCTCTTCTGGTCCCCTCCCATTTAGCGGGGAATTTTCCCGCTAAACTTGGCGGGCATTTTTTTCGCTAAATTTAGCGGGGAATTTTTTTCGGTAAACTTAGCGGTGATATTTTTCTGATAAATCTAGCGGGGAAATTTTTCCGCTAAATTTAGCGTGCAATTTTTTCCGCTAATTTTAGCGGGAAAATTTTCCCATAATGCAACGCGCTGTTACGCCCGGTTGCATTAATCCCATAATGCAACGCGCGCAGTTACGCCGACGGCGACGCCATTCAAGCCGGAAACGGGCGCCTAAGAGCTGCGCTCTAAAAGAAAGTCCATCCATTCCAGTAGTCCACAGGACTTTCATCCATAGTTGGCACGGTTGAACATGCACCCTCTGCGCTTATACACTGGACGCTAGCTAGTTGATACATCCTACCGGGTGTCCCAAACAGCGGCGAGGCTCTTTAGATCGACCGCAAAATTCGGTTTCTTAACCTACCGCGATAGAATTTGTGCAGCGTTGCCCACCGATGTGTTCTTTTTTTTCTTTTTTTGTAAAATTTGCAAAGAGCGAGCTTATCTGAGGAAAAAATGCGGTGGTTTAGCTCGGCTATGCCAGGATATAAGTAGCGTGAGCTTATGTGCACAAAATGAGAGGCGCTATCAAGCGGCTCCGGTGCAGCGTGAGACTTGGCTACTGCACAACGGAGGCGCACAGCTGGGCACGTGGCGTGGCGTCAGTGCGTCTGCCGCGGCTATGACGTCACTCCTCTGGAATGCGCAGACCGGCGAGGCGGGCGTGGCGGCGGCTCCGGCGTGCCAGCTGTGCGCCGTGTGACGTCACTGCTCCTCGCGCATGCGCAGCACGAAGCGCGGCTCATTATGCAAGCCACGCGAAACTGCTCAACCTCGGCCAGTGTAGCTCACGCTACAAAAGTAAAGAAAGAAAAAGGCTTAACTCTTATGAAAACGCAGCGAAGCCGCCGGTCTTCAAACAATACGGCGCCGTTTCGCACGGGAGACGAGAGGGCGCAAGCGGTCGTGGCGCCAACTGCCGCCAACGAACGAGCATACGGCGCCGAGAGCTGGCGTCATTAGCAGACGATCTTCTCTCAATCAAGCACAAGCGTTTAGTGACTTTGTGATTACGACCGTGCTAGTCCAGGGCAAGAACAGTGACGAAATCGACGTTCACAGGCAGACTGGCTAAATAAGTGCCTGTGACAACTTGTGATGCTTTCCAGCCTGATTTCCATCCATATTTTTGCCTGGAACATTCTAAATGCGCGAGTCGTCCAGATTTTCGTAACTGGTGCGAGTTGCAACAATAAAAAATTCTCTAGCTAGTGCTGCGCGTCTTGGTTGTCTCGGTTCTTTGTTGGCCTATACCAAAATGTAAACGACAAAAAAAGCTGCTTAAAGCTCTGTACTTTTTTCACCTATTACGTCCAAGCTGATTAGATTTTTTTTGTGATTATATTTCTATTAAGTTACTAGAGCCTTGCACACTAAAGGCCCGTTCACACTCTTGCGACCGACTTCGACCAAGAGAGACTTCTTAGGACCAGCTCCGCTGCATCGCATACGGTCCTAAGAAGTCGCAAAAGGCTTAAAAACATGTCTGGTCTCTCTCGGTCGAAGTCGGTCGCAAGAGTGTGAACGAGCCTTAACTCCCGAGTGTGTAATACAAAATTAAAACGAGATACCCAGAAACTCGTTGCAGGTGCCCTGAAGTCGCTGACGCAAATTTTGAGGAATGTATTTGGAAAAGTATTTGGAGGAGACCAAATACATTTGGTTGTATTTGTATCTTGTATTTAAATGCTTTTTTGGAAATGTAATTAGATTTGCAATTAAATACATTTTGACGAAGTATTTTGTATTTGTATTTCGATACATATTTGAATGTATTTTGCCCCATCCCTGTATATATATATA